ACCCTGGCGAGGCACCCCCTTCTTGGGCTTCCACTTTCCTGCCTAGGGAAAGGTACTAATGCCAAAGCTCACCCTTGGTTTCACTATAGGAAAGAGCATCAGCCCAAATCCTGGTGAGCTCCTTAGGCTAAGGTGGTGGCCAGGAGCATGAAACACAAATGGTTGCAACGTGTCTTGGACTTGCTAATGCCACTGAGATGAAAAATTATATTCCGAACAGCAGGAAGAGAAGTAGATTTTTCCTAATATAAGGCCTCAGGTAAAAGACCCCGGTAGAAAGGTCTGGGGGCAGTTTTCTGAGCTGTGCTCCTTCACAGGTACAAAGGATCCCAAGTGCAACCCTTTTCTATCTTTTCAGTAGTGGTGAAAAAGCCCAACCCAAGTAAGCCAAAATCCTTGGGCTGAGGCAAACCCTTGAGTCAGTGTAAATTACAAAGCCAGAAAAACAGCAAGAATTCCACCTCCTATGAGCTGGAACAAGCATCTCAAAAGCTGCAGCCAGCCTCTAACCTCACTCTGGTCCTGAACAAGGCAAGAAACCAGCAGCCATTTCCTCCAACAAACAATCCCAATTAAAGACCAACTAAACACAGTTTCCAATTTACATTCCTAGATTGGCAAGAAGATAGTCCACAAGGCTCTGCAAGCCTCAACAGATGCTTTGAATGTCTTCAAGACATTCAAGACTAGGGCTGCCAACGTTTCTGACCTTATAAATGGAGAGGAGTGGATTGTCCATGAACTTATAAAAATACAGGGGAGGAAATCTAATTTTAGACACTGTGGTTCAACATGTTTACTTTAGGATTTCAGATGTAAACAGTGATGGAAAAATGCTCTGGCTTGTCCTTTGCCTACAGATAAATCTTTGGTATCCAAGTTCCATGGTGCAAAAATTCTCTTTGCCCTAATCTTCTTCATTACTGAAAGAGCCCTTGTAAGCACTGTGATCTCTGAATACTGGTGAGAAAGTGCCGTAAGGCAAACAATGCCTTTAAAAGTGGTTTTGCCCAGAAGACACGAAACCCCTCTTAATAAGGGCACCTTATAAAAGGCAGCCTACACGATGACTGGTCCTTTTAAGGGACAGGAAAATTCTAATTCAAACCAGCAGTTCATGGCAGCTGACAAAAGAAGCCAAAAAAGAGCAGATAGCCAGACCTCATGCCCTTCCTCACAAACATCAGCCCTTTGTACTAGAAATTCATCCCAGCATTAGGCTTTGGGAACACCTACATTAGTAGTTTTCTACTTTTGCCTCAATGCTTGAGACTTTTCATCACTTCACTCCTGCTCAAAACCCTCAGTTTCCTTAGGAAGAAACATTTAGATACGGGGATACACTGCCTCAACACCAGCAGAGCTGCCAGACACTCCCCACTACTCCCCAGCACGTGCCACAAATGAGCAATTAGAGCTTAGGCTAAGCAGTCCATTGCTCCCCTCAAGCAGCAAGACTGATACAATGCAGGAACACTTCTAACAGCGATGTTCACTCCCAGCACCCCTGTTTAAAGGGGACTCACAGGGAACACAGGAGGGCTCCTTCATTCCTCTGTGCTGCACTCCCATGGAGCGAGTCTATCTGCATCAGTGCCCTTGCCACCATGTAAGAATTAACTTGTGACCTAGCTTTGCTCAAGTCACTTAAACAAAAATCTATACATGTTAAGAAAGCTCACAATCACACTGCTCTATTACAGCATTAAAGGTGCCAGCAGGAGCAAGGAGTCAGTGCTTTCTGGAATAACCAAGCCAAGAAGCTTCTGCAGTTTCAGCTGTGACCAGCTCAGTGACTCCAAGCGAAGACACACCTGTGGTTATGCAATGCTGGAGAAAGTGATTGCCAGCCGTTCTCCTCCTCCCGACTACAATTCTGTTGTCCACTATTCTCAGCCACCGGTTTAAGTACTTCTAGGCCAAGATCTAAACATGCAGGGTCTCATGAAACACTATCAGTTTAAAAACTCTGACCCAAATTATTTTAATTATCATAAAACTTGAAAAGTTATCATTGGCTTAATCCCAGTGGTCTGCTTTTCTACAGACCACAGCACACATATTCAAAATACAGCAAAATATAAACCTTGACTTTCCCAAACGCTCAACACAAATAACTTTCGCTAAAAATGCCAAGTGCTTCTGCATCCAGGAAAACCTGGAAGGCCATTATTACAGCCTCTGCTCAGACTTGAGTCACTTCTGTCCTGACTGGGAGAGGCAGATGGGAGCCCTAGAGAGCTGGGAATCTGCACCAGGCACTGAGGTATTTGCACCCCATGCCTGGAGTATGTGTTGCGCTGGAAAATAAAGGAGCCTTCAAGAAGATAGAAACTAGAAACAGACCACAAACTGTATTTTTTATAAAAACTACTTTGAGAAACTTGTGGGAGAGCTGATGCTCTGGAGAAACTGAATAAGCTAATTGGGGATGAGGCATTATATGGATCTTACTGCTCCAGATGGTAGACACCGTAGGAAGCCTTGCAAGGCAAGAATTTAAAATGTGTTGCTAAACACAACTGGCAAGGATAGAGGAAAGCTGAGACCAGATTCAGGGTTGTAACGACAGGGAATACATACCAATTCAGTTTGGACAATCCTGCTGAAACCAAGTAAATGAAGTTTTGCACTTTGTGAGTAAGTCAACATGCACACACTGGAACCAAACCACACGGTAGATAAGTTAAAAGCCAAGCTCTGTCCACAAAACCTCACAGACCTACTAACACTGCACTGATTGTATTTTATTTATGGGAATCTGTCTGAAAAGACAGGATGGCTACTAGACTGCACAAACTTTAATTGATCGCTAGAGAGTTTGAAGAGATTAGTTAGAAATTACAAGACAACCTGTAAAGTTAGGGCAGCTTTTCTATGAAGACACCTAAATTTCCATGTTAAATTACTAGAATATAGAGGAATAAAAATGTATCATTCATTTGCAGCAGACTTTTGTATAACATCTAAGAAAAGTCAGGAGTGTTCTTTGCTTGAGAAGCATTAGGATGCGCCCATTTCCTTTCACCTTTGAAGGCAGTACTGAAATGAGAGTTGGACTTTTAACACAGTAGCACTGATATCTGCCAAATGAATTACAGCCCAATGTCAGCTTCTTGTGGTCTACTAAAATATGTATTAACTCAAATGCTACATATTATATGATCTCTTGCTTTCTCAGAATTCAGCTAAAGAGCTGTGAATGTAAGCCACTAACAGACTTTAAGGCAAATGACCTTTTGAATATTTACAAATAAAAACTATTTTTGATATTCAAGCAAAATAAATATGTACTACTCCTTCTGAGCTAGATATCTCTGCACAAGAGATCATCAGTTTTAAGTATCTATTGCACTGTCTCTTGTTGGTAAAATACATTTGACCTTGACCAAGACAAAAGTTTCAGTAAGCTTTTGTTACTAGAACTGAGCAAGAATAGTTTCAGGGTGATGCATCTTAAAGGACATGTTTGCACAGTGTAAATATATAAATATGCTTTTGTGCATAAATATTTAAGAAAACTGGACTACAAAGATTACTTTTGTATGAACCCCCAAGTGTCTTCAGATGTGAAGAACTCCTATTTTGTCTTGCATTTTCTGTCTTTATATAATGTGTTTGACTACTAAATTCATATAATAAAGTTTGCTTTTGAAAAAAAAATCAGAGTTCTGCCTGTGTCAACAACTGCTGTGGCACACAAGTCAGCACAAACATTTGGCACACATCCGTCCCACAGGCTGATTTTGTGAGCAAAGGAGAACATGGAATAATCACAAAGAAGGAAGGCACACTTCTCATACAGCAAAGGAGCTACAGTGACAGACACCTGTTACTGTTCCCTGTGTGGGAAGAGCTTACTGCTGTCTAGAGACAAAAATTCAACTCAGCCTCTGGGAGAGGCAAGGTTTCATGGTGGGGGAAAACAAAACAGCACATGGAGACAAACATCCAGCCAATCACCCACCATTCCTGGTTTCTTCAGCAGCTAGAAGATGCACGCCAGAGAAAAGGACAGCAAACAGAGCTAAGGTGTCCCCACCAAAGTCTGGTCTGAAGCTACTGTGACAGCAGGCAGCACCTTAGGCCTGGGTAGTGACGCTTTTCTTCAGAGAATCTCCACATCCCCAACCCCATCCATCCAAAGCTGGGGATGCTGCCTCCACAGAGATCTTCAATCAAGTGTTCTCTGCTAAACACCGTTCAGTCATCTGAGGGGCTCTCCAAGTGCTGGAAGGAAGTGGAGATGAAACTTTCTCTGGGAAAGCAGAACACAATGGGATCATCTGTTGCTGCAGGAGTTCTGCAGCTGCACATTACTAAGGAGGCAACTGGAGACTGGATAGGTGCATCAATCAAACAATGCAGCTTATATAATAACATTCCTAAAACACTGCAATTTTAGCAATAATGACTCCATGTTAAATACATGAAGGGATTATTGACAATCCACAATATATGACACAAAATTACATCTTCCATAAGCATGGTCAGCATTGAATGGATATAGGACACTTTATCCCACCAAAAAATCATTGAACCTTTGCTGGTTAAAATACTGAAAAAAAAAAAAAAATCTGTGAAATGAGGTTATTGCAACTCCATGTGCAAATTCTCAGAGAAATTAATACACTTTGTTACTGAGCAAAAAAAGCTCAAGAAACATGGAAGTAAGGGTACTTGAGCAGAGTTTTCAAAAGGAGGGCTTGTCGAGGAAAGCAGACCTGATCAAACTGATGCAGATGGGATTTGACTTGGGAGTTACAGAAATATGCATTAATACAATTCTAGTGAACAATATATCTCAGTTTTAAGACATCTGATACACTCTAAGTGGCAAGCACTAAACACAATTTGTGACTCCTATTTGTTTAAACTCTGCATTGCAGACAGAATGAATACAAAAGAAGTATGAGACATAATGAAAGAAAATTCCACCACCAAAGGTGAAAAACCCTGCATCCAAATTCAGAACTTCACAATGTCAAAATAAGGCCACGTTACTTCTGGTATTCTTTATTAAAAATACTGCTGTACACATGAACAATGAAAACAGGATTAAAGATGAGTAACACATACTGGGATCATGACATTAGAACTTAACATACTGGTGCTTTTTAGGGGAAGCAGTTGACACCTGAATTACTGAAACAAGGGCAAATCAAAAATACATAGGTACCCTCAACAAAATATTTACAATATAGTAAATACAGCAACAAAATTTAAAACAGGTACAAAAATTAAAATGACCAACATCAGATGATTTCAAAGGTTGTCCCTTCTGTGCTTTTAGCTGTAAAAAATAGGAAGGTCAGAAATAAATTTCCCATCTGGGAGGGCACATCCTGGTGACTCTTCTTTTAAATACAGATACACAGTTCTTCCTATGAATGGATCAAACTACAACTTTAGGACAACCTTCTAAATGGAATTAAAATGGGGTAGAAGGGCTCTCCCCAAAAAAACACCCAAGCTGAACTTCAGACTGTTCAAATCATTCCCAAATACAGACCAAATAAAATAAATAGAAAACAAAGCTCAACTTCTTTTTAATTTTATGTATTACCTGACACCAAATATTTTCTGGCTGACATTATGTATGAAAACTTATTAGCTGTCTACCTTTTTATTTTTAAACCAAGTCCTGAGGTTACTAGGGGCTGAAGCAAACTGACATTATGCAAATACACACAGGTTTGCAATTTAGACATGTCTTGCAGAGGGTGTGCTGGTCTAAAAAGGATGAGAATTCAAGCCCTATTTTACCCCTGCCTTACACTTCCACAAAATATTGGTCCACAAATTAAATTTTCAAAGGTTCCCAAACCCCACAACTGAACAGATGATCCCCTTTCATTTTCAAAGAAAACAATACTGGAAAAAACCTCAGCCCGCTTATAAATTAAGCATTCCATATTTCTTCTAGAATACAAGTACTTCTTTTTTTTTTGTACAAAAGAATTACAATATGATTTGTCAAAAAACATAGAAAAGACAGCTGCTCTTCCTCAAATACATGAGCTAATGATAAAAGACTGTTCTGCATGTTCACTTTTCAAAGTTCCTGTTCCTTTTATATTAAAAAGAACATTCTGGCAACTGTTATCGTTTGAATATTAAACATTATGTTCCTTTTAAAATTGCAACAATAATTGATTTTTAAACTCAACAACTGATGCTACTTAATGTGGACTCAACCACATTTTCTAAAATGTGTAAAGCATGTCCCTAGTCTTCAAAGCTTTCGATGTGAAGAGAGTTGCTTTTTTCTTGATGCAAGTCTCAAGGCGGAGAATCATTTTAAAGCTTATAAAAGTGGACAGAGAAATATTAAAAACTTCTCTGAAAACTACAAATATTGAGAATCATTAAAATTCATGTCAGTAACATCAGTTGCAAGTGCTTAGAGTCTGTCCTGACCTTTTGAGTTTCCACATTTTCTTCATGGTGAGCACCCAGTGCTATTAAAACATTCAGTGCTGGGAAAGGATAGATACAGTCTTCACTACTGCTTTAAGAAAGGAAATTCCTACATATTTGGCAGTCTTCAGTATCAAAGTGTAGGTGTTTAACTAGAAATCCCATGAATACCCAAGTTTGGAGACAACTGCATGTCCAAAAATTAGAAAGGTAATTGAGGAGCAAAATTCCAGACTTTTGAGACTGAATTACTTCAGGAATATTCATGTGTTGAGTATTAGCAAAAGTAATATTACTTTGGGCTAAGCAGTGACTGCAAAGGCACAGCAGATCATTATCCCTCCAGATTCAGGCCGTAAAACTTGAAAAGCTCTTGATGCCAGACAACTGCTGTGTTTAGTTAATCTTCTTTTAACAGTGTCTTTGTATCTGTATCCAGTGTAGCGTACCATAATAAAGCTGTGGTTCAAAGAACAGAACTTTATACAAAAATTATACTGTAAATAACCTAAAGTAATACACTCCTGAAACTTCAGGCATTTAAACAATTTCTTTAAAAAAAAATCTATTAAAAAAATTGCATAAATGTAAATGCTTCTGACTACCAGGAAAATGTACAAACAGTTTTTAAAAGGCGCTGGTTGTGTTTAGAGCAAGTTTGATATGCTCCTTAAATGAAAGATATTTCCCATTATGCTGTTTTCGTCACTTCGCTTAGACAAAGTTTAAATCGAATGACAGGGGGGACTTTCTTTCCTTTTCAGTCAATTCACCAAGACTTCACTTGACTGGTTTTAAAAGGTTGTTCCTTCTCAAATTTCTTTGAGCTAACAGTGGGTGGCATACAGAGCTTGCATACAACACACTTTTACAGAGGTTATGAACTAAACGGTCATTAATAGAACACAATTTATATTAAATTATTTACCTGGTCCTTTATGCTATTCTGGGTGCAAATAATATCAAAAATGAATAAATTTTGCTATATCCTCAGTGACAAAAATGTATCCCAGAAATGTCCTTGCAAAGAGTTTCCCTTAAGTATACAATGTGGCAAAACTTCAGAGATCAGAAAAGTCTTAAAAAAATTAAAATTAGTGCATATACAAGTGGAAAAAATAAAAGTAGGAACATCATGCACCTGATGTGTTCCTTAATCTAAAATAAATTCTTCACAGATAAAGCCTCCAATGGCAGCCTTTGCTCTAGGATAAGTGAAACATTCTTCCCTTCAAGTAACAGTGTACCTGACTGAAGTGCAAGCAGCTTTGCTCATCTCCTGTTTGTTTCCCAAATGTGAAATGAGATGACAACAACAATTCAGCTGTAGTGCAATTTGCTATAGGTTAAGTTCCTCAGCAATGTCCTGCATGCTTTCAGCAAATACTACAACTGACCATTTGCGGCTGCAATCAGTTCTTGAAAAGTATTTTCAAAGCAGCGTTTTAAATCGCTGTAAGTTACCACAAGTACACTCTTCTCATCTCTGGAAATGAGGCTTATTTTTTCTGGCACACCAGCATCTAACTGTAACAAGAATGCAAAAGATAAAATAAAAGAAGTGTGAAAGAAATGGCAAAACATTTCCCCAACAACAAAAGCAATCAATTTCTTGGCAAGTACATTGTTATAGTGCAGTTCAAATCCACTAACAGGACACAAGGAAGAATCTGAATTGCATCACAACAACGTCCTTGCCAAAAAATCGAGACATTTTGGTCTTAACCTGACGGACATTCCAGACCTTAGGACTAGATTACCATTGTTTTCTTCCCTTTCCACAAAGCTAGGAATCCTGTAATGCTATACTTCCTGTGTAGAAAGCCTGGCAAAATTTTAATGTACTTCCTGAAGAACAAAACTAAATTTGACATTACATTTGCACATATGATCCACAAGCCTAAATGTCAGGTAGGTAATTTACTCCTTGCCCACTCCAAAATGAGATAATGGATGGATCAGACCCCAGGTAGCCTGAAAACTGGTAGAAACCCAAACCTCACATTTTTGACAGTACTGGAAACAAACTACGCTGTATGGTACATTTAATCCCTTAGAAAGAAAAAATTACTTTGGTATAATCCACAACCAAATGGGTAATTTGGGGTTGAAGATCAACGTTTGCTCCACATTTCTTGTCATGGCTTGTTCTGACTTTTCAAATTCAATATGCACTTTTTTTTATATACCATTAGATCCTAATTTGTAACAGAGGAATATCCTGCTTTACATGCTGAAGCCTATTACATCACTGTTTCTTATGTTCTTCTCACTGTGCAAGAACTGTTCATCAATAGAGAACTGTCAGACTCTCTTATTATGCAGAATTATTGTAGTTTTGTTTTGGTCAATAGTTAGATAGTTCCATCACAGTCTTTCTTATTCCAATACAACAGGTGGGGCAGAGACAAGTGAGATATGACACTACCAACCCATTCTTTGGAAATACAACCCCAGCAGGTTTAAATGTATGTATTATAATGTTGTACTGAATAGAAAAACAATGAAATTTGTCACAGAGATGTTCCACTAGCTGCTGTCTGAAGCAACACAGCAAGTTAGCAATTTATTGCACTTCTCTTCTAAAGTAATGTTTTGAGTGTAACCTTAAAAGCTGGAACTGCCACATTTTAAAGCTGCTGCTCTGTGAATGGTTTCAGAAGGACAAAAGCAAGCCAATTAGCTTCTAATTTTTGTAGAGTAGGATAAAACCACCAGTGTTTTCCAACATCCATTACAAAATATTAATACAAATAAGGTGTTTGTGAAATATTGTCCACTGTTCATTTCCATTAGCATCATACAACAAATTAATGAATTACCTTAATGGAAGGTCTTCCTAATGGAAGTTCTCTATTAAGAAAGCCACACTGCTAACTACAAACATCAATATTTATGGCTTTCTTTCCTCCTGTGGATGCATAAATCCATATTCTCAGCTGAAAAGATGTTCAAAACACCACATTGAAAAGGAAAGATTTTTGGTTTGGATTTTTAAACAACAGAATAGCTTTCTTTCAAAAGGAATGTGTTTGGTAAGTACCAGTAAAGTCCATATAACTCCTACTAGTACTTCTACAGTTTCTGAAGTGTTTTTTAGAGTGTATTTCCAAAGCAGAGTTCTGTAAATCTTACATTTTTTGTGTGCTGAGCCCACAACCACAGAAGAGAAGAGCCTCTGTTTGAAAAGGTAAGCCATGAACATTTATAGAACAAGGCATTCTTTGACATTGTCTCTTACCTGACCTATGAATTCAGGACTGTCCCCTCTTGCTACAGTACTGTATGAGTCACTGCTTTCAAATCATGATGGCATTTCAATGCCTACTTGAATGTCAACATGCTTTCTTTTTGATTTAGCCTCAATCCCTTTAATGTCCTTTTTAAAGTGATTACAGACACCAACCAGAAAGATAAAAAGGAGGTTAAAAAATGCACAGCAGTGGTCTAATAGGAGGTTAGAAACCCTGACAATTTTAGAAAAATATTTAACTGCACAGTTATTACACATCAAAGGATCTGAACATATTCTACTTTTCTTGGAGGAGAACGTTGATTATCCTAGTCCTAGAAAATATTGGGCACTAAAACTGTGTATTGTCAGTGTCTGCATCACCATTCCCTACAGAGCAAGTGAAATTACCAAGCAGCTACACAAGCAACAACAAAAAAAGTTGCAGTATCTTAGTCTTCCATGGACTATTGAAGTTTGGCAACACAATGTGAAAGAAGTTGAAAGCCAATCTACCAATGAAAAAATAATCAGCTCATATACTTTTTAATTTATGGAGCAAGACAAGTTCTTCATCTACTGAAGATCTTGTGGTCTCTCACACATCTCCTGCTATTAATCATGAGAGTGCTCAGATAAAATTCTGCTAGTGGTGCAGTTCTTAGAAAACTGCAAATAGCTTTGTTAAGTCAACCTTGGAAAACAAAGGGCTGGAGAGGCTAGGGAAGTTATTATAGAACTGGACTTAACATTTTAAGTCACAGAAATTTTCCAGCACTGTCCTGATGGCAAAGATTTTGCACAAATTTCTTTTGCAGTTTCCCTCCTGTCTCCTACTTGAGTCAACACAGTTTAGGAATGGATCTTGCCTTATGACCATCCTTTGTGAGAACAACCAGCAGAAACCTCCCCCAGTTAAAGGAGCATTATGGATCCTTTATGCTGTGTTGAAAGACCAGAGTAGCATAAAGGGACCAGCATTGCTTATCCACATAATCAATGCATTCTAGGACGAAAAGTTAATATTGTATCTCACACTATATTAACAAATTTTTAATATTCATGTACTAGTTTTATTTAAAATATCCATATATGTTGGAATATTAGCTTAGTGAATACATGGTTTTAATCCAAAATGGGGAAAATAACCACCAGCTAAGCCAATGGCATTAATTAATGGCACTTCCACTGCTTTGCAGTGGAATACTCTTTTAAAGAAAGCTAACCCAAGCAAATGTGCAAAAGCTAACTGAAGTACAGTGTACCTTGTTAAGACATGAGATAATGTGACTGAGGTCAATCCAAGGAGTACCCGCTTCTGTCACCTGATGGAAAAGGTGGTCTCGAAAGAGCTTTAGTAAATACCTGTCTCCAGTTTCTGACCATGTTGGGTCCTTCTGAAACCTAGTGAAAAACAAATTCTCATATTAAAGCTCAGTAAGTTAAGTAAAATCAAACCCCACAGATATAAATGACACTTCAATCTCAGCTGAGAATTCCTATCACGCAGCTAATTTACCTGCTATAAATTGCAAACAGAAGATAGCACACACAAAAGCTTTCTCAGCCGTTTGAGCACCTAAAGCTAATGCCTTCCAAGAGCCACCAAAAATAATGGAAGAAAGCAAAAATTATCTGCAACAAATTTACCACATAAAATACATGTAGAAACCTGCATTATAAACATAATTCTAAGTTTATGCAAAAGGATGGAAAACAGACAATGAATACTTCATTTTGATGTAGTTAGTGAATAAAAAACAAGGTGAAAACTCACTAGTTTAAAACCACTATCTACATCCTTTGCTTCAGTTAAAGCAAGCTATGGATTTCCTCCAAAACTACTGCCACTCACAAGAGAAACCATACTAAATACAATGAAACAACTTTGGCATATCTACTTGTAGCCGTCTCCTGCCTACTTAAAGTTTTGGTCAGAGTTGCTTATCTGATTTTTCTCAAGGCTTCTTAAATACTCATTTCTCCATGGGCAAATTTGGGGGGAAAAATTTAGCTTAAATTTATGAAGGATGAAACTGCATTGCAAACTGTGTTTTACATACTCTAAACCACAAAAACAAGTATTTCTTACTCTGGCCTCTCATTGATTGTTCCCAATTTTGCTAGGAGCCTAAACAACCTTCCATTTTGCACCTCCTAGAAAATGAGAAAAAAGTTATTAAGAGTCTCTGAAACAAAATTTAGATGTTTACTTGCAAAAGACACATGGCAATAATGCAAATGAAGCACTATTACTTACAAAGACTTATTTACTCAGAGAAGAAGGTATCATTTTTTCACACAGAGATCAAATGTACTATGTATCAGTAGTCCAGTGCTCATTTTTAGCACTTCAAATTATAATGTGAAGATTCAGCAACTAGTAATACCTCTCTGTCCCAGCACGAACTGGACCAGGCAATCTCTTTCTTTTTGGAAATATAAGTCTAATCTCCTGCCAGCCTATACAGGAATGCTAAAATACAGTAAGTTTAACAAGGAGAATATGGGTTTTTTATATATATACACACACACACAGAGGTACCGAGATATGCAGAGGTATGCAGTACACCACCTTATTTCAGGTAAAGATGAAAAGAAACAATCTACCAGATCTGTTTTTCAGAAAAGCTTGTAGGCCATTATTAGTAAATATTTAGCAACAATACCATTGAACTCAAATGATAATTGATTGCAAAAATAATTTTAAAACAAGTTTTTTCAAAGCAGTTCAAAGTCTTAAAAAAAGTATAAATGCTGAGTCCATAAATAACATACATAAAGCAAAGACAATAAGGTCACACAGAGGCAGAACATCAAAATTATAGTTGCTTAGCACACAACTGAAAAGTTGGTTTAGCTTGTTTTCTCATACCACTCAGGATGCAGTAAAAACAGTAACATCCCAGCTTACATTAAATTTAAAAAATTAATTCACAGTGTAAATCAAAGTTGTCAGGAAATGATCCTCTCTAATATTATTGACATTCTCCAATGGCTCAAGTCTACAACATTATTCATGTTAAGATGCATCTAATTCCATGCATGATCATACTGATTTCAACTGAATTCAGTCTGGAGTAGATTACTGTGCACAGCTAGGTAAATAAAGTGGGTCAAGGTGATAACAGCCTGACCTTGGACAACGTATGGGTTGCAGAGTTCTATTAATAGTCTAAAACCACACTGGAGACCAGCTTGTACCACAACAGTGGCTACACTTAAAGAGACTGACATGGAAAAACAACCCTGTCCAGCTAGCCAAGGTCTACTATTTGGTCTAACCACCAAATTTATTTTTGGCATGTGATCAAATACTCAAAAGCCAAAACTACAAATGTCTTAAGTTCACTGTCTTGCAGATTCCAGTGAATGATGACACAGCTGAACGACACCACAGGCACTAAGTCTCCAAGAGGCCTCCCAGCAGACCTAGTAGCCTGTAAGGAGGGAGATACTCTCCACAGGGCTTATAAACTGAGGCTTAGACTGCGATTACATCAATATGATGAATGTAAAAGTGAGGAAGGAAATGAATAGCATAAAAGGGTTACTGCTGTGTGAAAAGTGAGTGCACGAAGATATTAACTACATATAAACTACTTCCTGCATCAGAAGTTCCTAAGCTACAGATGACTCTGTGCTTGAAGAATATGAGGGGAAAAAAAACCCCACACAATAGTCTTTTTCTAATACTCCCTCTAAAGCATGCTTTGGGACAAAAATGAACAGAGGGCACCAGACTAGACTTAAGGGATACTGTATCGCTGATGTCAATGAAGGGGATGTCATAGTATGAACAAGTTACAGTGTGACAGCTAATTAAGAAGTGGCATTTATCACTGTCAGTTACTATTGCCAAACCGGGGGCTGAGCAACAACTTGAATTTGTAGTACTTCTGCCACCTGCCAGTGATAAGCAACTGCTCAAACAACATGACTAAAGATAAAGAAATTTTAGTGCTGATCACAGGGCAATCTCCATCTTTGCTATGGGAAAGAGTCCATCTGCCCAGCTTTGTGCAGGCACATAGGCCACCCTAACAACAAACGATCTCAAACATCTCTGGAGAAAAATTAGTAGTTGATTCTGACAAAGTGGGCACCCAACATCTAGAGGTACAACAGATACTGCCTGGCTCTTCTACAGCCCCTTGCTTCTGATAGATTTCAGCATCTTTCATCAAGGAGGAGAAAACTGTTCTCCAACAGGACAATACTGGAGAAATCAAGAGAACCGAGTCCATCAGAATCCCAAACACTGGCCCTACTATCTCTTAAAAAGTTCTCAGTGAGGGGTTATAATGGAGCAGAATCACAGAACTTGATTAAATTCTTGTGTAATACCCTATCCCACACATTTTCAGGGCCAGGAAAGCATTCCACAATGTATCTCAGTCCTGCTAGAAATCCTGCTGTCAGTCGCTTCTGACTAATAGACACTCCTTCCTGTCGAACAAATACACTCTGACTTGATACATAGTACATATGTCCTTTATAGCTAGGAACTTGATACCTTGACTCAACACCACAGACCCCCACAGCAAGAGTGCACATTCAGGAAAGCTGAACACGGTATCTCCATGAATTAGAATTCATTCAGAAAGGAAAACATATGAGACCAGGGACACCAAAATCCAAACCTAAAAATGTATGGGGTTTTAGCACACATTACATTATCTACATGACATACATGGCCCTCTTTATACAGAATGCTAATTTTAACCATGCTATAAAGAACATAATTTCCCCAAAACTACTGGTTGAAATGAAGATGCTACTTCAGTTAAAACACAGCTGAGGACATCTTAGAACTATGAATTCTTGAAGCTTTGAGCTTCCGAAAGCCTGACCTTAGAGTTGTCAAGTCTTCAGGCAGATTACTTAGGTGAATAAACAAACAGAAGGGGAAAAAAAAATAAAAACAGAAACAGGAACCCAGAAAACATTCCCTATTAAGGAATACCCTTTTAAGGTTCAGCTCTAGGAATACTGACTACAGATCTTTCTTCAGGAATTACTGCATGATTTACCTTTGCTAGGTCTTCTTCTATAACATCATTTCGCATCTGAGCAGCATCCAACTGAGTATAGAATCGTGCACCAATCATAGGCATGATATCGTTTACACTGCGAAGTCTGTTTTGGTCAGTCAGCAAATACCTGCCAAAATAACCCAACCACCAAAAGATTACTTTCTGCATATGCCAAACATTATATTCCATTATGATTTTATAACTATTTAACTTTTTGTATTTAATACACAAAGTTGACAATTGTTATGTTTCTCAGAAAAAGATGCCATCAAGAAAACACAATTAATTTACAAGTATTCGAGTCAGTTATTTATACAAGACAGGAGCATACTTTCACAAAACTGTGCAGTTCACTCCATGCAGACAACAAGAACATACACAAAAAGAGAGAAGGACGAAGTTTCAGATGGCAATGCAATTGTTTTTCAAATGAGGAAAGGAGAAAAGACTTCTACTTTTCCCACTCAGGCTGCAAGGGGGGAAAAGGCTGACTATATTGAAACAACACAAAAAGAATATGCAACCAGAAAAAGCTAGCACTCAACCTTTCAGCCAAAAAGTCAGTGTGCCTGTTTCTCAGTACCTTGTGAAACTGTAAGATAAGACTAGCATACTGCTATTGCAGAGAACATGCAATGAAGCCCAGTATTGAAGACAACCTAAAATGCTTGTTCTGTTTACACTCCTAATTCTTACTAAGAGCTTTAACAGCATTATACAAAAAAATTTATATCAATGTTTAACACTGCACTGACCATGAAGGCAACTCAACAGCAGTAGATTTATCTGTAATCATTCTTGCATTGAAAAATACCATTTGACTTTTGCATTTGTATACATAAAAAGTACTGCATTTGCCTTTAAAAGATTTATTAAACAAACTTACAAAATCAGATTCTTCAGATCAGAGGAATAGTTGATTGTCACCAGTTCCATTGCTTTCTGCAAATTCTCTCTCTGAATTCCTGACAAAGAATTGCAAGCCAAAGCCAACACAACTTTCCCCAGGGAGATCAGATCTGCTTGCTAGTAGGGAAAACACACACAGGTAAGATTCTTAGTATAGATAAATACTACCTATGGTACTAGATGGTGTTAAGGAGAGACAGTTCTTCAATAACCTTAGAAGAATTTGAGCAACTAAAGTAGTATTCAAATCATAGTTCAATATGATTGTTCAAGTAGTTAAAATGTACAGAAGAAAATCTGTCCTGACACCTAACAATTTTTAAGCACTATATTTATCTTTGAATGATTAAAATTTACCTATTTTTAGCTTAAGGACAGTACCAGAGAGAACTGTGTACTGAGCAGAAGCTCTGTAATGAGGTTCTCTGAGCCACCCACCTGCCCAATCCTGACAAGTCAAGGAGTTGGTGGCAAACAGAACAAGTCTTCTCAATATGTAGAAATAAAAGGATTATTTGTTAAACTGAAACCAGCATTTTCTGCATTAGTATCTTTTCAATCTAGCCATCCAATGTGAATTCCATACTGGGATCCATTCATCTACATTATATTACCATTTTAACAAATTTCTCAAATATTTTTATCTCTGATGGACAGTGTGAAAAGATCTGAACTGTGCAAAATAACTAGACAGGCCTGTATGGCTGCCAAACCAAACAGCATCGTGTGTTATGAAGAAACCTTTGCATTACAAAACACTTTTGTTAAAAGCAGAACTGCTCTTAAAAGACAAATGCTGGATATAGCCTGCTTTGCTGTAACAGAAAATTCTGCCAGTATTAATAGCCAGCCATGAGAAATGATGAAAAGCTGTAGAAGATAGGAAAAGCTGAATTGATTCTTTCCATGGAAAGGCTTTCAGCTGCACACAGTTTGGCTAAACTTAAAAACACCTGCAGCCTTCCATGCTGGACATGTCTCAGAGTGAATTTAACAGTCAGCTATAGATATGAAATTAGAATTTTGCTGAGGTTTGGGGGATTTTTTGAGAAAATAAGATATTTTTACAAAACTAAAAACATAAAAGCTACTAGTAATTGAGAACGTCAGTTCCATAGCCCAGAGCAAGGCCAGGCCATTTAGCAGAGAATGCAGTCATACAAGGAATCCACCTTCTGTCATTTCTGTAAGAAAGGCTAAAAAATCTGGCAGCATTAAAAGTTCTGGTTAGAATTTGGCAGGTTTAGAAAAGCGCTGTGATGGTGAACATGCCACAGCCCCTCACAGCTCTTCCACCCAGAGGCATAACCACACCTGCTGCCTCTGGTTGCAGTAGCTGAGCAGAGCCTTCCCTGAAGCCACATCTCCCAGGTGCTGAGGGGAAGGGAAAAATACCAAACCTTTCCAGGTCTCTCAATGTCCCTGCTGTTCCTATATTAAGTATGATTAAGCAGCACAATTTGAACAAGGATACACAATACGTCAGAAGTTAAAAAGTGTATTATAAAAGCATAATGAAGACAGAAACAGGATGTGCAAAATGAGACAAATAAGGACAAAGTGGTTGAAAAGGAGGTGGGACTGGCATTTGCTAGACTATTTCCTAAGCAACACAGAATTTCTGAGTAATAGCATTCCTTTTCCCTTTAGTAAAGAGATGTTAATCAGAGCAATAAACCCCTTTTTGGTGTGAACTTGCTTCCACTAACAAGTAGTGAATTTCAGCAGCAGGGAACACTGCTAGAAGTCTAAACAGAGGATTTTTGCTGGCGCAGTTATCTAGAAACGTGTGTCACCTGAGACAATGTCATTTTAATCATTATTTTTTTCTCCGAGAAGTCTTGGAAGAAATATGCATTTGTATTAACCACACCTGTACTTATTTCTGCAGTTCTCTACTTTACACTTAATATCTTTCAACTTTTAGTCATTCATAAGGATATATCCTATATAAATTCTGTATCATCACACATCCCTGAGACACTGAAAATATACAGGCAAGATCCTGTGAAAATTCTGTCTTCCTTTGCACAGGTGCTTTCATAATACAGATTGCATTAGATTTCAGAAATTATTGAGACAGTCTTACGTTTAACATCAGACAGGAAATTTTAAATTTGAGATTTGTGGAGTTCTGAGCATTTGACTTGCAACCTTAAAATTTTCTTTTTTCACAAATTACATCTACCAGAAGAACTGGAAGAGAGGATGCAACACCCTAATGCACCCCCAAACACACAGTTTTCAAATTACAGCCAATGATTAGCTTGTTTTAGGCACAAAAGTGGCTTGGATTCATCCCACTTATTTTAGGAACTTCAAGCATTCAGTCAAGAGACTGATCAATTTAAGACACAGCTGTAATTCTGTAAGACAATTCAGACTTTGAGCCAGCTGAACTGGTCTCTGGAGGCACTTCACTATTCACTGTTAGCTGAAACCCTGAAAGAAAATGTTATCACAATAGCCAATGTTTTAAGTTTTACAAGAGCACAAAGGTAATATTCTTCCCGTGTGACTGGAGAATCAGTATATCACAAGCTGGAAAGATCCCATAGAGTTCAGGACTTCTGAAAGTCAGATTACTGTTTTAGAGGCAACTAAACTACCATCTGCTGACCCACTCTATCCAGTCAGACAGGGTACATGACTTCCCAGGAGTTGGGTTACATCATTCTTTCTGTAAGGAAGCAATCCAAATATGCCTATTAAGTCCTAACCTGTCTTCTGAAAATACCAGCATATTCAGCTCCTACTGCTCCTAGGCAAAGAAAGGTTAAAGAAGGCACACAAGAACTACTAGACTTCTTTGCAGCAGAAACACCAGAAATATATTTTTCTGCATTCCTGTAGTAGCCTTGCTAGAGCAAGGTACAGATCTATATTAGGTACAATCATTTCCTTGCTTACACTCCTTGTCATGTTTGCAAGTTCCTATGGATCACGTAAATTCCTTTTGCCACAGATCTGACAGAAAAATTCTGCTATGGTAACTATCAACCGTGACTATGAAGTCATACTAAGTTGATTCTTAACTTCAAGGAAAATCTTTACACCTTATAAGCACAGGCAACCTTTTGTTCAAAAACGCACCTTGCATGCAATTAATAACCATTTAATTATTAATTCAATTCATAACTGTAACCTGTACCAACTTACTTTTTTATCTCTTGAAAGCTTTGCCAGTAAGAATTTTATCAACATTTAGTTCATTGATAGAGCTATTAAATAGCATTCACTAAAAACCAGCACTAGGGGATAAACTCAGAAAATTAATGTATCCCTATTACCAAGTCAATTTCAAGCATATCAAATGAGTAATTCAAATGTTAATTGCATAGGTACCCTTTCTTATTTTTTGTATTAAATAGGTATGTGCCAAATGCTCTAGAGATACCTCAACATTTTATACACTTAATTTTACCAGCCAGACATGTAAACTATTCAAATAGAACTTTCTTTTCAAAAGGATCCAATTTCCAGAAACATTTTGAAACCAACACTACTTTTTATTTTGTTTTGTTTATCCTGATCCACTGCCATGCTTGGATCAGTATCAGCTCATCCATACTCCAGTTCCGTGGATTCACTTAAAAGGATAAGTTCTGGAATTGTCCTTAAAAGGACCTCCAAGTTCCTACATTTTGGTGGGTATTTTAGAGTCAATATTAGTACTTGAGACATCTCTTCAAACTAGTTTCTTTAAATTTGGGGAGGTGCATGTGAAAGTTATTTTGGTTTGCTAAAATGAAAATATTTACTTTAAACAACAGTAACCTTTATAGCCCTTGTTAAAACAGTAAAACTTACATTCTTTTATATTTGTAAAGGGAAGGACTTACATTTTATTCCAAATACAGAAATATTTATTAAACCTTTTTACTGTTTCCTGTATCACCATTTACCTTTCCCATCTGTACCTTGCTTTATGACTGACATGACTGACACAATCCTTATGGACTGCAGCAGGGCAGGAAGTCATGTGCTGCAATTTATCCAGGTTTAACCCCTGGTTTTCAATGCAAATGGCCATTCGTAGTTCATTTACTTCTTTTTAGTTTCCTTTATTGTTGCCTTTATGTAATTCTTAAATGATCATAGAGACTAATGCATTTAACACAGATTGTAGAGAGTGTTGTGGTTTGACACAGAAAGAATTGCATTCCTTTTACATAGCCCCTCACTGTTTTGGCCAAAAATCTTTCTTTATATTAACCATGGGAAATAGCCAGAAAATAGCAAACCCTAACAAATATATGTTTCTCCATTGAAGACAACAACAAGGAAATGCATATTAGCTGGGCAGTAAACCAAGAGATAACCTATATTTTTAACAGCCACAGGAGTCCCAGAGGAATTCAGGAACTGGGTCATGGATTGAAAGGAAAAAGGATGAGCAGCTGCTGTTATTTTGTAATTTTATATGGCTAGGGCAAACAAAGGTAGAACATGAGAAATGACTCCTAAATTTCAAGGAATGGACCTAGTCTGGCACTTCTGAAGGAAGAAAATGGGAAGCAAAAGCCTAGTCCTTCTAGAAAAAGCAACAAAAGAAAATGCCATACTGTATTTACTAATTGCAGTTTAGATCTTCCAAACTAAGTATTTAGGAATATTTATTTTCTGGTTTAGCAGAGCAACCTAGACAATTTGAATATTAACAACATATAGAACATAAAAAGCCATTCCCCCTAAAAATAACTAGGCATTATCAAGCAAGTCAGCTGCCATGTGTTGAGCTGCTATGGTGGTAAGTGCTTTTGACAGACTTGTGTACCTGCAAGTATTTTTAGATTTCTATCTTCAAGTATTTTAAATGTTTTTCTTTACTTGAATGTCATAATATCTCAGGAGGATCCCTTTCCAAGCTGAAATTAAAATAGAGAAGTACTTAGAGTTAAAAAAAAACCCTCTCATTACATTTTTAGGCATGGAATCCCTTACTTACATGTATTTTCATCTTCTCTCAGCTTTTTTCCACTAAATTATTACCAAAAGCCCACTGATAGATAGCTGAGTGTGTGTGTGTGTGGGAGCGTGAAATCCTACGGTGTACTCCTCAAAGTGCACTGAAAACTGCTTTACTGCATCATTAAAAAAAAAAAAAAAGTTATGTTCTAGGACTCCAACAAGCTAGTTTCTGCTGGCCAAAGTTCAAACATTTCAGTTATTACTTAAAGACTCTGAATAAGCAGTTCTCACAGTGAATAAAGTCAATTAATGAAAATAAATTAAATCCAACTCCCTACTGTAGTCTTTCACTCCCAGTACAGACAGGGCATGTGATGACTGCTGAAGTAATGTACTTTACCCTGAGGGGAAGTTAGGGAAAGAGGCACTCCTGTACACAGTGATGCTCCAGATGACTGTGGAACAGTTTTTGTTAAGTCTAAAGGGGTTCTTCTTAATTCAGGAATTATGCAGAGTCCACGCTTCAGAGAACACCAGGAGAGCACGGAAAAACTAGGAGCCCAAAATAAAGATACACTAGAATCTTTTTGGCATGAGGAGAGGGTCTAAATGCAGTTAATTAAAAGATCTTACTCCTCTCAACAGGTATTCAACACTTATTTATTTATGTTAAAATCACAAAAGACAGAGCAAAAACTATTACTGAATCATTATTTTTTATCTCTACCACTAAATGTAAGATTTTTCTTCTCCACCCTTTAGAAATTTCTATTTACAGTCTTTTCTGACTTAAGTTTGTTAAATACTATAGTTCAACCTGTGCGGTGAGCTTGCTGAAATTTTCAAGGCAGAAGATATCAAAGTGAGCATTTACATTTATAAATTACAAGCAAATTTGAATAGTGTATGGGAGAACCAAGACCAAATCAGAAATGAAAAAATAAAGTCATTTACAGATAGATACACTGGACTACAGTTTAATTAAAGTACTTGTCTTCCAAAAGGAATCACACTGGTTTGCAGTAATCCCTTTGCCAAGCCACCAACCTAACTGGCAGTGTTGTCATACCTGAAACTGAGCCATTAATGCCAGTGGATTATTTTGACTGTTGTCAAATGTCAAAACGTCAAAGATTCCAACACAATTAACTCGTAACCTTTAGGAACAAGAAAAGAAAAGGAAAAATTGCCATTAAACTTTATTGGTTACTCAATTTTCCCTCCAGCATTCATTGAATTGCTTGATATGATAAAAGTCATCAATACTTAGCAAATTTGTATGCATCAGAAAAGACTGATTTTACTATCTGATAAAATGCACAGACAGTATTCAGTTTACAAATAAATCAACAAATTCCTAAACTGACAGTAGTGGGTCTGATCTGTAGTTTGAGGATAATGTATAAGTCTTCCCAAAATATGTTATAGAAGACCTCTAAAAAACCAAAGTTACAAGCATTAGCACACTGCATCAGGCCATTTGAGAGAACTTAGTAGCTCTTTATGTATCAAGTGCACAGTCAGCAGCTGCCAGGAACACGGAGCACAGTGAGACTGAACGCTTTCTTTACCTTGTTTTGCCTGTTACCAGAATCTTCGTTGGATCCATAACTCTACACGCCAGTCCTGCTGTGTGAATGGTCCGCAATGCAGAGCTGAGCTGCACAATATAGGCCCATATCAAAGACTCTGGAAGCAACCCTGCATGCTGCCGTGGCAGAGGCCCATCATGCTGACCTAGAACCAAAACATTGTGAGCATCAATAGAATGCTGCTGTGCAAAAAGCAAAGTACAACATCTTGAATTATACTCACATACACATTTCATTTAACTCTTAATAGTCCTTGAAACACACATCTACGTTGCTTTAAAGGTGAGTTTGGGTGAGTTTTCTTCATTGGTTGGTTTCACATGTGGTTTTTTGAAAATGTTGACAATTCATTAAGCATTATTATTTTCATGCTTATATTCAGGGAAATTATGTTTGAAGTTGAGAATGAGCACTGATTGGAAATTGCTCAAAGTAGATGGTACATCAAAATACGCAGCTATTTCAGAAGTAAAAACACCAACATCCTGAAACAAAGAGTATGTACCGCGATAGCTCCAACATTTTACCTCCTTTATTGCAGGTAGGCTTCCCAATTAAACATTTTCTATCATCTAATAAGAAAAAACGAACAAGCTAATTTCAACTTACATAAGCAAATCAGACAAAGATTTGGAGGCTAAACAACACTGAACACAGCTTCACTTATGTTCTGCTGTGACACAGCTCCCTGACAAGTCATCACTGCATGACCCCTATTCCATGGGTCATAGTAAAGAAATGCATTATTCCCCTTCCAAATGGATTTGTAGTTCTCCTTTCAAAAGTAAAACTCAATCTTTGCAAACACAAACTCAAATCCTCCATTACAGTTTGAGTAATATTGAGTCACAGATGAAAAAATGAAGGTATAGATAACAAATGTTATTTTAAGTATGATGTGTGCAATTCAAGTACACTGGCATTGTTTGCCTTGCACAAAGTTGAAGCAGAAGAAAATACATCCAGAGTAAAACAGAACATCTCAATTTTACAAACCACAAAAGATATTTCAAGAGGTTGCCCAAGTACTGATCTTGCTTATTTTGAAACCATTAATATCATCAGTATTAAGTAAAATCATGTAAGCATCTGATTGGTTTAGCCATGAACTGACTGCACTCTTCAATAAACATTTATTTCTTTTTAGCTTGATTTTTTTGTTTGTTTGGGGGTTTAGGGTAGTTTTGTTTTTTGTTCTTGTTGTTTTTTGAGGTTGGGTCTTTTTTCCCCTTTTCCTACACGACCATATCAACATCTGTGCATTTCATCAGCAAGTATGTGTATACTTGCATACATATGCACACACAAAATATATGCACAGTGAAAAAAGTGGAACACATTGCTGATAACTTTTTACTTAGAAATTTTACTGACTTTGTGGTGATGGGCTGGGAATGTTACAAGCTTTTAAAATTTCAAAAATTACAAAACAAAGCTCAAATAGTTTGCTTTCCAGGTTTAAGGTACTTTAGATTATGAAAATCAAAATGCTGACTCCTTTAAATAGCAATAAGCTTGGCATGTCTACTGGAAGTTGAATATAATGAGATATTGTTTGTTTTTCCTGGCCCCCTGATGAATCATTATGCAAATCACTTCCCACAAAAACCATCATTCCAAGTCTCATGTAGCAAACTTTTCCCTCATAACTCTCCTTCAGAATGACAAAAATTATAATATAAAATGACTGACAAGATACAATCTCCTGTACTAGTTGAGACTCTCTTTACTACTTGCTGTAGAATGCACTTTATATCTGCTGAACAACAACATGAGTAATAAGTGTAACATGGGTGTGTATGGATACTGTAAGAAAGTCACATCTGTACAAAGTAAGTCCAGAATAGAACTGTTGCTATCATATCCCAACGAGAGAGAGAAGCTGAAACTTGGCAGTTATTTTTGTGCATGTATAACAGCACCTGCCCTTTGATTTTCAAATTAAGGCAATGTAACCAAGAAAATATCCAATATACATTGAAAGACCAGAGTTCGACACAGCTTCTCCTCATCTGTCAGAAAATCTCAAGCAACATTATTTTACTACTGGAAAATGTTACTTGAGGCTACAGCCAAATCTAGGCTGCTGCTTTCACACCAGTTGGCTGGACCCCACATTCACATATGCTAAACATACAAACTAAAACATGGGAAGAATCAGCTTTGAAATGCTCTCTTACATATCTATCTGTTCAAAATAAGCATGATTAAAAGCAGTTCGGTTGGCTCAATGCTGGCTATAATGTATGTCCCAAGAGGCCCATAAGACCCATAAGACAGCACTTGAGCAAGGACCCAAGGAGATGAGACCCAAAAGCTTGCTCTTCAGGAGTAACACACAGTTGGAAAGCTTTCCAAACAGTGCTGAACACAAGGAAAAACATCACAGGAATATAAGTAAACATTACCCAAGTGATCAGAGTATTACTTGAAAAAGTGGCTTTTTTAAAGAGATTTCACAGTTCATTTGCAAAGGCTTCCCACCACAGGCTGAATCTATGGCCACAACAAATAAAATTTCAGACTGTGTTCTTCCCATCTACTGCATGGCAGATTCACCTCTCCCAATAATTTCATCTCTGTGATGTAGAACACAGTCAGTAATGGAAAAAATTAAAAATTTAAAACCAGCCATTTCAAAAACACAGGTTATGCATTATTTTTCCTTGCCACATTGGGATAAACATAAATAAATAAAAATGCTGACACTTATTTTTAGTTCTGTGGTATGCTGTTGACAACAGAACAAAAAAATTACCCTCTGTACTGGTGTGCATGCGTATATTAAGTTTTTTCTAGTTAAGAAAAGCGTTCAAATGAAATTCTGTTCTCCAGAGCAAGTATGAATACAGGAATAGTCCTCGGGTGGGAAGTAAGACCTAGCAGTAGGACCTGTTTGACATCATCAGGGACCTGAAAATGTGCTAAGAAACAGCAATTCTCACACAATTATGAAGGAAAAAAAAAACCAATGAAAGATTCAGCAGTTTACTAAACTGAACATCTCAGGCTTGTAAACCAGTCTTTTACATTTAGAACTGTGAATTGTTCAGTGTTTACTTGGTGTTCCTAAGTTAAAGTACTAAAAAGAAAATAAATGCAGTAGCCTTCATCTCTCCTTCAGGGAAACCTGGGGTTTGGTTTTACATTTCCCAGTTTTCAATATACAGAAAGGTTCTGAACTACTAAAGCACAGCAGTATTTTTGTGAAAATTCCAAAGCTACTGAAAATTCAAACTTACTTTGAAAAAGTTGCAACTTTTGGCAAAGGTATTTTAAGATAATTATTAGTCACATACTTTGTCTTCAAAAACATCATGTTGACTTTCAATATTCATATATTCTTACTCTTCATCACACACTATTCATCTAGTCATCACACAATTTATTTACTTTTCAATGGAAGGGGTATTTTATGAAAAAATATTTGGCACATGGTGATGCAAAAACTGTAAAGTCAGCAGTGAAGTCCATTTTTGTGCATGACATACTACTACTAATGTGTCAAAAGCAAAAGCAAGTCAAAAGATAAGCAAGACCGTGCTTATCTTTATCAGAAAGTACTTGTTTGCTGAAAAACAGAGACTGTGCTGCTGAAAACTCCTACTAACAGCATGTACACCAACATTTAATTGCTCAGTGTTTAAAAGCAGACCAAAGGACATAACAAAGGCTTGCTTATCTCTGCCAACCACAAACACTCATCAGGACAAACCTTTCTGGCAGCTGTCAATAGTTACTGTTAATTTCCCATGATTTTCTGGTTGTTAAGTTTTAAAGTACATACATTCAGAATTTGGTTTACCGTTCAATTATTGGACTGTTAAGAGCAACATTTCAGTACTTTTGGGTTAACTTGCTAATGCAAAGAGGAGGAAATATAAGGAAATAATTTTTGAGGAAATATAAGAAGTGAGTATAACATAAGAAGAAACTTTTCCAATAAATATACTTTGAGTAGCAATTAACTGAAAATTCAGATTCCGGATTTTAAAACGTGCAAATTTAGTAAAATATGACAGAACAATGTTAGATTATCACACTGTACATCTGAAGGAAGAATAGGCATCACTGAATAAAGAACACAAGCAACCAATTCTACTGCATTCAGAAGTTAGAGATATTAGTTTACAGTATAAAAATAAATGTAAGCTGCTATTTTTCTCCTCCACACCAAATCTCTAACAAGGTAGTCCTGTAACAGGGTCTGTAAATAACATGGCAAGAAGAAAACACCCAAGACTGACCACATTGACACCAGTGACATGCAAGACAGCCATGTAAACCATAATCCTCATCTTTTAACTATCAAGGTCTCATGTTGCCGACTGAAGTGTTCAACATAAATAAGGTTGCATACCTGAAATCAAATTCTCTGAGTTCACTGATCAGGTTCACAGTGTTGTGCCTCCTAAAACCTTTATAAGCAATTGTACTAATCTGGGCCTCATGCTGCAGAGTACCCAACTTCCATCCATTCCCCTGCTTCTCTTGGGAGTCTCCTCTAGGCAGGCAGACGGCCAAGAAACTCTGTGAGGGGATGGAGAAAGGATCCGTGAAGGCAGGCAATTCTGAGAAATCAAGTTATAGGTATGCAATCTTATTTTTCTCTCTTAAATTGCTCCTTCTACTGAGGACCAGGCTAGAAAGCAGAGTTATTAAAAAAAAAAAAAAAAAAAAAAAAAAAGCAGAGATATGCAGAAATATCTAGCAAAATTTGGGAATTCAGGTGACTTTTCCCCTAATTTATCTACTGAAAATATTGAAAGAGCAGGATAACAGTCAGGAGACAGTTATCTTCCCTACATATTCCTGTAAGTTCTGTTGCAACAACTCATTTTAATTAAGTAATACTTTGGTTTGAACAGACATTGATGTCCTATTTCTAACTTCCCATACTATTCCTCCCTATAAAAGGAAGCTGAAGTAGGCAAAACAAAGGGTCCAGATAACCCATGAGCCTGTTTGAAAGACACATACACAAAAATCAGCTTGCCATGAATATTGAAGTGTATAAACATAAACAAGCAGAATATTCTATTAGCCTCCAGTGATTTGCAGCCCAGAGGTAAATATCATCCCTATGCAGTCCCCAGATATTTCTCAACCATGAGTAAGCCCATTTCCCCCTTGAACCTAGGCAGATGTCTACAATAACCTGTGAAAGTTCCATGGCTTAATTATCATTACATAGGTTTTGAATTTGCTACCTGTCTAGTTTCATTGGTAAGTCTTTGGTTTTAGGCTGGAAGAAATAATAAAGTCTTTTTATTCATTTATTTGTTATTCCAGATGATTTTTCAGACCATATTCCTGTCATTTTTAACCCCATTATAGTCCTTTCCATCTTTAAAAGCATGAAAAGCATTATTCCACTCTGCTGCTCTTTATACAGCTGTTTCACAGTTTTGATAATCACCATCACCTCATCTCAACTTTGCTGCTCTTCTACACCCTTCAAAATGCATGAGGAGTAACACAGCTACAGATAGGAGTCTATCAGGCACATACATCTTGAATACAATGTCTAGCATTTCACTGCCCTTTTTTTAATAAGCTACATCAATCTACTTCCAGCTATTCAGCAAGAGGACTGTATTTTCTTCAATCTGCTTAACTGTGGTCCCACACCTACCACTGAGCGGCAACAGTCACAACAAAGGCCATCACTTCATGCTTAAAGCTAGTTACATTTTTCCTCTGATCACGTTGGTTTACATTACATCACCTGGTATGTTATCAGTAGGAGTTCCAGTCTTGTAAGATCCTTCGCAATCAATCACAATTGGCCTTTGTTTTTAACAATCCAAATAATTTGGTGTTACCAGCAAACTTTGACAGACCATTTATATTCAGAGCACACAAGTGAATGTGTTAAGAAATACAACTCCCAGGACATCTTCTTGTGAGACCCATCAGTGATCTTCATTGTTCACTCTTTCTGTTTCCAATATTCTAACCAGGCATTAACCTGAGAACCTTCTCTGACACGTGATTACTTAGATTCTTTTAAAGACTCTGCTGGACTTCATTGAAAATTCCAAGGTCTTATCTACTGGATGTTCCTTTAAAGAACTTTGATAGATTAATGAGACATGATTTCCCTTTAGAGGATCATAACTTAATTATTTTCCAGTGTGACAAAAGAATGTGTTCCCAAGAATTTTGTTGTAACTTTTATTATTTTACCTAGAACAGACATCATTCTACTATGATTCTCTAGTGAGATACAAAAACATAACAAGGAGTGATTCACATGGAAATCGAAAACCTTGACTGGGAAACGCTCAGAAGTCTAGTCCTGCACGTAACAGTAATTAACCTAGCAGTACATCTTCCAGTTTTATCTCACCAAATTAGTTTTACATCAGGCTCATTGAATCTGTAGTTGCACTCTGATTTGCCACAGGATATGACACATCAAACTAGGGTTTCCTCCAGCTGAGATACTACCACCAAAATCAGTGGTGGAAATCAAGTTCCATCTCCACTTATAATGGTCAGCTCAGCACAAAGTCAGTGGGAATTATGCAGTATATAAGGTATCCACAAGTCTTTCAGTGTATATAAGGTATTCTTCAAGTCTTTGAACACATTCACATACTACCAAACCACTATACTCTGATGCAGAAGATAGCCAAGTGAAGTTCTAGGTCTCAGCTTTTGAAAGAGTTTGAATTCACAGCTAAAAGCTCTAATTTCAAAAGGTACAAGAAAGAAGAAAGCCTTAGCTTCTGTTTCTCTTCATATGCTCGCAGCCTAAAGACATTTAGGGAAGAGCTTCTCTAATTAAAAAAAAAAAAAAAAACAAAAAAAAAAAACAAGCCATGTCACAGTCATCTGGTTATTCCTAGTGCTGGATGTAATTTCAGGACTGGTCCTGCATCAAGCAAGAAGTTGGTCCAAAAAAGCTCTGCAGGGCATTTTTCTACCTTAAGTCTTCATGTGATTCCATTCAGCAGTGATCACCTCTCTTTCTCAGCATGGCACTGTTTGTGTTGCAAACACCTGACTGCAGTTTGTAAGACTGCAGGGCTCACAAACTGGTTCCAACAGGAAGAAAGATTGACAGCACACTGTTTTGGAGAGGAAAAGGCTTTAGCCACAAGCATATGAGCTCTGCTGGGCTACTTGCTGAGCCACAGACCATTCTGTGACAGATCTCATCTAAGAACATTGATGTAGTTTTAGCGACTCCATTGAAGCTATGTACAAACATCATAAAAAACCAATTCAGACCTAAGATGTGAAGTTGGTGTATGAAAAGAATATGGTACAGGGATTTTTCAATTCATTTCTTGTCTTAACTAGTACTTCACATTTCCAATCATCAAATAAAATACTGTCTAATTATTCCTCATAATACACAGTGAGGAAAAAACCAGAAAGGTAGGACACCTAAACAGTAAGCATCAAATTGGCATAGCATATCTTTTGAATTTTGGAATCATCACCATTAAATGTTAGGTGTTACCTGGTGACAGACCTGCAATAAGGACACCAGAGCTCTGGCTCCCAATTGTGTCCCAACTTACTTTTCTTTCAAAGAGCTGTAATTCCCTTACATGCTGACATCAATTTTATACTTATTTGATAATTAAAAAAAAAAAAGTACAAATAGGAGGTGAAGAAGAACTCTCTCATATCAATCAGCTTACAGTATGAAAGAACTGACCTGCCAAAAAATTAAGGTGAACAACTATTTGTGACCAGATGTTTACTGCTGAAGTATTGGAAACAGTGTATAGAAGTATTATATCATAGTGTGGTTTCCTTACCCCATTTCCGTTTTGTGAAATAGGAATCAGCACTAGGGTCATTGAAGTGTCTGCTCATCATAGTCTCCCCTCCAGCATGAAAATCATATGCAAACACTAAAGCTTAAAAATAGAAACAGGTGATATTTACTAACTTAAGCATATTTGGAAAAAGCATCAACACATCAGCTGGGGGGAGGGGCAGTGGGAAAGAAAAAAGAAAAACTTACAATGTTCTCCAAAAGCTTTAGTGGTAAACACTTCACGCAGAGTTACAATATTTGAGTGCTGAATCTTTTTCCACATGTCAACCAATACCATGCACTTTGTGTTAACAAGACGAAAACCTAGGGAAAAAATGAAACCCATGGTTTAAAGTACTATGTTTAGAATGAGAAGGTTTTACTTTAGCATTTCATCTGCAACTGCTAAGAAGCAACTAGACACTAAAAGATGACTGGTATGCTTTGGAATGCTAGTCCTACTGAGACAACCCAATTTTTCTCACCATGTATCCTCCGAAGGCAATACGGCAGGTCATCTTTACTATTTACAGCTTTATAGCATGATGTGATGTACCCAAAGTTGCTCGTTTTCTGTATCCGATTGGGTGGTGGCAGTGGTTCCAAAGGAAAGAGACTGTGGTAGTTGTCCACTTCCGCAGGAACTGCTACAATACACAGAAACACATTAGGCCCCAGCTGACTTTGAGAAAATTACTGAGTAGCAAAGAAAATGAAAATTACTTTCACTAATGTATAAATTATCTCCACCATCTCTTAGGTGCATGTGAAGCTAAAATTCACTATTTTTGCTTTAACAACAACATATTGATAGATTCCCAGAAGTGAACCCACTGAACTAAAATGACTGTCTTCAGTGTTACACCAAGTAAAATCAACAGAATAGATGCCATTTCCAGTCCATCTGCCATTTTCTCATTTACCTTAGAAATTCACCCTTACAAATGATATTTCTTTGGTGTTTTTCCTTCACTGATTCAATCATAAACACCAATTTTCATGCAGACTTCATACCACAGTAAGACCCGCATTTTCATCAGAAAAAAAGCAAGTCTCAATCTTGTGTTTTAATATAGTGGTTTATAAAACAGGGAGAAAAAAGTGCTGAAGGTTTGCAAATCAGATTAAGAGATCACCCTCGCACTTCATCTGGATTAAAACACTAAACTGCACTATTTAAACTGCATCATTATCATATTATGCATATATTTGAGAAGCTACTGCATGCAAAAATTGTTTAAATCAAGCTGAATAATGTAAATTCTCCAAAAGCCAAATCACAGTAAAGAGTATATGGTTCTTCTGCTTGACAGCTAATACAATGCCTTCTCTGATATACCAGCCAAGTCACTTCAAAACAAACAAAATGCTTACATGCAACATTTGAAAAATCTATGGATCATTTATAGAAGTACGTAATACCTACAAAGTAATACAAAACTGTTCTTAACAAGGCTTAACTGTCTTAATGATCACTGTTTAGAGTTTTGAGAAACACTTACTTACCAGGAATATCAGCCTGATCAATCTGGGCCATTGTTATTAAGTGTCTGTTGATGAGTTCCTGAAGGAAAGAGTAAGTTAAGTTTAGAACATTATAATTCAGCTCATTATTTTTGATAATTTAAGAAAACACTGTCTTTGAAATACTAGCTACCTGTACTAAAATAGAGAATTGATGTGTCTAGGGCAGAGAGAGTCAGAAGATCAACAGCTTGAAATTTTGAATGATAAAATACTTAAATTCCTGAAGGAGCTTCAGAAGACATGTGCTATAGCTGGCACTATTAGAGTAAAGCTGAAATGAATAACACTCACAGCCAGCCTTGAGATGACGAACCCTGAGAAGAGCTCTTCAACTAACACCTGCATACACTTCCATTTCAGTGGGAGACTTTAAAACTGAATAGTATTGCAGCTTAAAATAATGCTATGAAAATAAAACCATGCACACCAAAAAACCGCATCAGTAATACTACTGAGCTGAATAGCAAATCATGTCATGCAGATTAGATTGCAGTTATATACGTTGTAACTCACCCCCACCCTCTGTTGTACTCCACCTATTACAAGATTTGATTTTTCAAATTCTCCACAGGGAAAACTGACTGCAAAGATTGCAAGTGTCTACTTCTGTTCTCCCATTAGTAATTTTATATTTTTTGCCAAGATATTAAATTTTCCTTTAAACTCTCTAACAACTTACCTGTCTGAGCTCATCTGCCATGAAGAAGGAAGGTGCATTTGCTTTTGGCTGCATGTAAGCAACATGAGGTGCAGCTGGATGATAGATGTGGTAGTTTGGAAAAACCTAAAAATAAAATATTTCAATAAGCTTTTTAAAGTCCTTAAGGTGTAGGTGTATATATGTATATACATAGTTATTTCCACAGTTTTGTAACTGCCTTTTTCCCATCACTGTAAATATAAGAGCTATTTCACCTATCAAAAAAAACCTGACTTTTTGATGTTTTCTCATTATGAATGTATTCACTGTGACATATAGAATGCTTTCTTGCTATTGTTGTATTAAAGCCCCAGAAAGCTCTATACAGCTGTAGAAATATATAAAAATTACTCTGGTCCTTATATTTCAGTGATTTTTGGAGCACAACTGAAATAACTAAAAGGCCTCATCTTCATACAGAATAAGCAGTTTGTAGCATTAAAAATAACATCTGTAGTATCAACCAACTCAGCACTTACAAACTCCAGACAGTTGTGTATTGAAAGCCAACATACCATTCCTGTGAGAGGTGCTGGAGTTGTATCAGTGTAGAAGTATGTTGTTCCACCCACTGTTTCCTTCTGGATCACCTGGCCAGTAGATGGAGGCTGAGAGACAGCGCTAGCGACAGACGCAGAGGCACTAGTAGGCACCATATAGTTTGCTGGGTTAGGAGTATGACTTCTTCTTCGAGGAGCAGGAGATGTATGGGGAGTTATTTTGGGAGAATGAAGAGGAGAAGATCCTGCTGACAGTGACATTCCTTAAAGAAACACAAAAAGACATTCTTGATCAAATCTGTCATCAAAAAAAATTTAGCAATTTCAGAAAAGCAGCCTTCACTGCCAACAACATTCTGAGCAGGTGAGACACTTAACTCTCATATAGATATAGAAATCCTTGAGAGATAAAACAGTAAGAGCATGACTGAACAGCTATCTTTTCCCCAAAATCTTTGCTTATTGTAGAGAAATAGGGCTTGAGAACTTACAATATATACATGAAGAACTGAAATGAAAAACATAAGTAGCTGAAAAGGGAAGACAAGTCAAAATAATGCTGTGTCTAAAAGATAGTTCACTAAACTGCAAAAAGACAAAATATTAATGACTATGTGAGTGTTTACTTAACAGTTACAAGAGCAGTCAGCAGAGTTTGCTTAGCTGTAATTCACTTTACCTAATTACGTATGTACCTTTTATTAGAACTCCACAGCTATAAATGTCTCCAGTAATACAGCACAAAAATAAGTGTGCTAATAATATACAAATGCTACTATTAATAACTTCAGGGGAGTAATTACCTATTTTCCTGCAATTATTATATCCAAAAGTCATCCTCCAAAAGATCTATTTGATACGTAAAAATAGATGAAATTTCATTATATGAAGCCTATTAAACATTCCTGTTGGAATTTTCTAATTTAATTGAAATTATTTTATTGCCTGGTGTTCACCTTCAACATTACAGGGGAAGTGTAATGTCCCACTGATGCCTGAGAAACTCTGCTTCTAAACAAAGTGCATCAATGAGAAAAACAAGTGCAACTTTTTTGCACATATACTTTTTAGTTACCAGTCTAACTACTTTAAGAGTTATTGCATGCAGAATTCTCAGACTTGCTTACTTATAAAAATTAGGTGCAGAATAGACATTCCAGGGTGCTGCTGAGGAAGAGAACCCTTCAAAAAAACTCCTTGCAGAGTTACTTACTAGAATAAGATCTGACACATTCAGGTGCTCAGATCAACACCAAGGAAAACATCTTTGAAAGGTATTATTGCTCAGTTCAGACTGGGATGTACTTTCTCTTCTATATACTCAGAATTGTATTAGTCATACTAAATCTTTTCCTTGAAAGGATAGAAGTTACACAGCTTTCATATTTAACATTCAACTGACAGCTGAGAATTCTTCTCTCATTAAGAATTGTTAGTTATTACTCAGACACCTGATTAAATTAATTATGCAAACTCTAGTAACCAGAGTAATTTAAGCAAATATTCAACTAATGAAAGCAAGAGGAACCTTTTTTGCATACACACTTTTTAGTTACATAAACCAGTTTGTTTAACTTCAGTCATGAGTTACTGCATGCAGAGTTCTCAAAATGCATCATCAGTGATGTGTAGGAGTGATTTCACACTCGTATCGTGCCCCTAAAGTAATCTCATCCCTCCTACATTTAATTTTTTTCTTTTTTAAAACAAAAGCAAATAAGTTTCAGTATTAACAAGTAAGTAGTACCCTGGGAAAAATTACTCTGAAGCTATATTATCCTAATGATATTAAAAGAATATTTGTAACCTCTCATTTAGCTCTTCTCATTTACTCCTTTGATATCTCAAAAAACATGCTCATTAATTCAGCAAAATTCTCTTTTGTTCCTCAAAAGTGAATAGTTCCAACAAAATGAACAAGATTTTTAAAATGTAACTGTGATAAAATCATATGCCTTTCTTTTTAATTGTGTCTTTTAAGTCATTTACTCATTTCATAAAACTGTAAAAAATAAGAATATGAAAGGAAAAAAGTCTGCACTTTTCTAGGCTAGACCTTTTCTTTGTATTAATATACATACATGTGTGTACACACATCTTGTAGACAAGCAGTATTGTAGAATATTGCTGATCGGTGCACTGACTGAAAAAATGGATAATAATAGGCCCTGCTAAATGGTAATATAAACAGTCTCCTAAAAATCTGTTTAGAAATGAACTATATGACTGTAAAATGTTACATATTTCGATAGCACCAACTTATGCTACAGAAGAAAAATAAGTTTTCACTATGGTAAAAGTTACCTTAAGCGACTGAGTAATATTTCAATATTTCAACATCTCTGTAAATATTGTTATATTTTTTAACAAAAGACTAAACCACAAATGTATGCTTAATCTACTGGGGAGAAAGATCAATTTCAAAGGAAACAATGTATTAGTATTAAAAGCTGAAGGATGACTAAAGTGGCCATTAAACTAAAGCAACTCTACAGTTAATGAGAGTTCTCTTCATCTATAGAAAGTTACTGACATGTCTTTTTCACTCTATTCCAATAAAGCAGTATTAACTGAAGTCCTCACAAGCACATAATCTCAACTCAGACTAAATGGCTTCAAGAGTAACTCAATAAAGCAGCCAACTGTAGGGATCATGAAATATGAACTCAGCAGCCTTCATATATACTGATGGAAAATTAACTGAAGACCTTTCTGCTTTCAAATAAACACTACAGGTACAAGACAGTAATATCTTACAGAAAAGTGAAGACTTGCAACTCGCTAAAATTATACTGTGACCTTCTATTACAAGTTTCACAGAAGAAAAAAGATCTCTAGTGACTTTTACAGATACAATTTCCACTTCAAGATTTACTTTTTAAAAAAATTTATTCCTGCTGAAGAATAGTTAAACACATAAATCCTTAATGTCTTTGCACAGGTATTAATGCAAGACTGAAAGAAAAAGATCACAGCATTACACAAATCGTTTCATATGGCCTTCCAGTCTAGTTAGGCCTCATTTTAAAAGGACATTGAGCGTTCAGTGAAAATCACCTGGCAGGCAGAATATATGGCCTCCTCATTTGCCAATATGCATAGTGAGTTCAGGAGATAAAAGAATCTTAACTAGAGTTTGGCATTATTCTACTAGAACAATATACTACATACGCTACAAGAATTTTGCTCCTAGTGCCATGGTAGGTACAGACAGTTTGAGACAACAAATATTGAAGGTGACTGATTCTTCTGAGAGACTTGCATTACATTCTGCACAATCTAAATAACTACTGAAAGCCCAGCTTAACAACAACAAAAAGAAAAACAAACAAACAAACAAAAAAACCTCTTAATACAGTGAAACTATGCATACTTAAGTACTTCAGGCAGCTAATAGAGTGCACAAACTCAAGGAGATATCACCAACTTCCTCAGTATTTCAATCAGTTAAAAGCACACTAATAATAATATCTAATCATAACAAATGGAATTAGAGGAAAATAAAAGAAAAATAGTTTCAATAACAAGTGATTATATATTCCTACTAACTCATGCTCAAGAAAAAATATGTTACTAAACATACAGTAGTAACAATGGAACCAGACCTCACAGAACTAGGCTGGTTTTAACAACACAGTTTATATAAATGCCAATTCACTTAAGGGCCTAAGAAAAAAATGAGCTTTAAAAAATCTACTTATGATTTACATATATATATATACATGTATATATGTCTCACTCATATCAGTGATCTCAACAAATAATATTAAGCTTTCCTTATGAGGGGGTTCAAGATTCCCCTGTATTAAAATTCAAATGCCAACAGGAATACTATGACAGACATCAAAAGGACTTTTTCAAATTGTCCCTCTCCATTTCTTGTCTTGAGGAATGTTAATACACTTAATGAAGAAGTCAAATACAATCTTAAAAGATTAACTGCAAGGGGAAAGGGCTACTTTCACTTTTCTATCTAAAAAGATGTGTCACAGTACGCAGCTGTCATGGTGTTGTCACACCAACATGGAAATGATTGTGGGATTTGAAGATCTTTTCCCAACATTCACAGTGAATGTGCAGGCTACCTACACACACCGGCAACTCCTGATGCCTTCTTATTCTGTAAAGAGAGAGATCATGCTTATATATCCCTTTTTATTCTCATATTTTCATTTATTGCCTTGTTTTTTATTTTTGAAGTTTCATTGTGACTAAGGAAAGGGAAATGGTAGACTTTGACATGCATTTGAAAGAATGCCCAAAGTCATTTTATGAGATTAATGTTTCTAATAAAGCTTTGTAGCACACAATGTATTTGAATTAAAAGCTAGATTGTATTCACACAGATAATCAGGATCAAAGAGCACTAAGCATGATTTCTTAATGACTCAGTAACAACAACTTTTTGATTTAATGAGAATTCACAACTTAGTGAAGCAGCATTTCATTAAACTCACATGTATGCAAATCAGCTGGCCTACAGCATTAAAGGTTAAAAAAACCTTCAAGTTTTGCCTAAAAATTTACTAGTGAACAACCATATCCCTATGCCTCTAATGCTTGTTACACATTAAGAGATGAAAAATTAAACATTTAACACTTTATCACTTTAATGTTCTGTACTTTAGAGATACCCCAGACTACTAGGTAAATTTTGAAGAATGACAAAGCAAAGTAAATTATGATATCATATTATTTCAAGAACTTAAAGTAGCATCCTTAAATTTATTAACTATTTCTTTTTATTGTAAGCTTTCTATCAGGTCATTAGCATTGCAGCTGTGTATTTTCAAGTTAATTAAATCTGCTTCATTCCCTAAACAATCTGAATCATCAATTCTTACTCTTCAGTTTCAATTACGAAAAAAAGATAATTTTAGAGTATCTTTGCGTTCTTCTGTTCTTACATTGTTCTGGAATGGCTGCAGAACTTCCTCCGCACCATATTTTATCCAGGAGGCTAGAACAAGCTCTTGGGGCCTTCAGCCAACACAAGCCACCTCAGCTGAAAGTGCTCCATCGCCAGCTGGGGCTGTGGGTTCTGAGAACTACAATCCTGCAGCTCATCACAATGGAGATGTGTCAACTGGACACAAAGCACAACACCTTCGCACTCGTGGCTCCTAAGCCTGCAGGTTCACAATGGCAGAAATGGGATCTCCTACATTCTGCATAGCTCAGAACCTGACTTGGACTAAATATAAAAGCAACAGCAATTTGCTGTCACTTCTATCAGTGACAAAGGCATCATTCTTTATGTATAACCTTGACATTTTTCACTACTAGAGTGGGGGCTATACATCTGCTCTCTCTTAAGTTCAACACAGCAATGATGTCTTATCACTTTGATGACATTCATTAATTTCTTTCATACACTGTGTTGCATATTTTAATCACATTAATACTCTAATACAGCTATGCAGGACTTGCAAGATAAGCTTGTAAGCAAAAGTGCTATTTGAAGACTGTCAACTTCTTACTAGATTTCCCACTCAAAGGACAAGCAGGGTGTGTTTGCTAGCAAGGAAAGGGAGCAGCAATAAGATAGTATTCAGGTGAGTTTATAGAAAAAGAGTTTGGAAAGGGTAAATGAGATCTGTTTACAACTCTTCAGTGAAATAATTTTCTCCCACCACTTGTGTAAGTTGCATTTTATATCACTCTATTTCCATACTCTATTAAAGGCCACCAAGATGAACATGACTCTGCGTTGAGATTACCCTAGAAAGCACTTACTTAAGTGAACATATGAATGTAGGAGTAATCTTCTTCCATGCTACATCCTAATTGATACGTCAAGCATGGATCTAACAAGTTACCCACTAAAGCACTTGAGGTTTCCCCTGTCATATTTTTCACTATTTCTGCAGTACTGTTGACAAGACAGGCAGAACAAATATTTTCCAAGGACAAGAAATATTAGATATCAAAAGTGGTTTTGATTTGCACCTACATTTAGGGAAATCTCAGAAATTAGACATGCGAAAGAACTTAACACTTTTTCATCAACAAGAAGGAAATCAAAAGATTGTTTTCATAATTTATCTACTATGTTACAGGTGAATAAAACTATGGAAGTCTTAAATACTCCTACTACATTTCCTTAATTCTCATGAAATTTTGATTGCCTCCAGTACCCTGTAAATTACAATAAGCAAACTTAATCTCACATAAATACTTAAATCCACAAAGTTATTCTACAGGACAGTATGCACCCTTTAACTAAAAGGAGACTTATCTTTATTCAAAGGAAAATTCTTATAAACTCTTTATATGGCTTTTATTTGAAGTTGTTTTCACTTATTGAAACCTAACATATCTCAACCATTTTTTCTTGACAACTTCAGAATTTTTTATTCTGTTACCCAGTATAATCTAAGTGGTGACGTTTCCCCACACAAAGATACTGCTTTCTTATTTAAGAGCCAAATTTTTTAGAAAGACCACCTCCTAACTGACCTTGAGGTAACAGGAATTTCTCTGGATGGATTATGTTGACAGCTTTAATGTTAACATTTAAATAAAAATAAATGTCTGTGAGCAGTATTTACATAGGCCACTTAGGTTCAGAGAATTCCGCACTTAGTGAGAAAAGAAAAGCTTCTAGAAAAGTTCAGAGAATCCAATCAAGGTCCCTACATTGAACTATATTTTCATTTTAGTTATACAGGAAGAGCAAGGGAAATAAGACAACTCTGCCTGAAGTTACCTCTTATGAATACTCCCCCATCCCTCTTGTCCATAAACAAACAATAGTCTTTGAGGCTAGAAAGTATGCAGCATTGTTATCTAGATTTATTTCTAGGAGCTAAAATTGTTGTGTGAACTTCTTTGATCAGTGTTACTTATCCTTTCAAGTATTACTTACAGATAGTAAAGAAATTGGACTGTGAAGGATCCCTCTGAGACCCCACTGGACACTTTCCAAAAGTAGATCATTTTACTGTATTCTATTTAATCCTTTACACACTTTTCAATCCAGGTGACAAGGCTGAGAGGCATATAAACACAACAGTTTTCCAATAAGACGGTACAGCACAATATAGGATCAAGCAGACACAGTTCCACAATATGTTCATTTGGTCAGCAGAAGTTATCAATCACTTTCCTAGCCTGCTGTGCTATGGTTATACACGCAAGTAAAATGCTGGCTTTCTTTCCCATTGACACTGCCATCAGGAAAGAGTGAAGGTTATTTAATAAATGGTAATTGCCAATAGATATTTTTAAAAATCATTTATAGCATTTGTCTATCCACCTTTTGGCAATTACCTAATGCTTCTTGGTAGCCACAAGAGAATGTTGGAGGTTTAAGTACATACAGAAACTCATTAAAGAATTTGCAGTGTGAATATCCAAATTTGCTGATGGCTATATATTAAAAATACTTTAATTTTATTTAAATGAAATTATTAGAATTAAATTAACATCTTAAGATCAGAAGACTAAAAGATGCACGAAGGGCTTGAACTTGTTAAATCTGTAAAAAAATCTGCCACTCAATTACATGACTGAATGGAACATGTTTCAGTTAGAGTTTTAAACCTAGGAAATAACTATAAATTGGTCTTAAAAGTGAGATTACACATGACAGATACAATAAAATTAACACTATTTTGCAAGGCAGAGTATTATAGAATTAGCTTGTCTTCTACTTTTTATTTTTAATCCAGATTTTTAAGTCCCATATGCACTCATTAATACTGAAAAGTTTACTTCTACATCACACAGTCTAGAAACAAATAAAAAGAGCACACCGGTGTGTAGTAAACCAAGATCATATGCATTATATACTACACTGCATTTCTAGACTATGGGTAATTTAAATCCTTTTCAGGTACTGCTCTGGCAAGAACCACTTAGGACACAATATGTGATAACTCAGCAACCCTTTACCCCAAAAAAGAGCAGAGTAAGTTGTTAATTTCAATGCTGCTGTGGCTGAGCAAATTTCACAGCCTGCAGTGTGATTTCCATACTACTGGAATATTAATCTAAAGTCCCTCTGCTTTTTAATGATTGCCTTAAGAGCTAAAGTAGGAGGTAGCTACATTTTTACCTGATAAATCTGATAAATATATATATATGGTTATGTTTGATTTAAAAAAAAACCAAAAAACTGTACTGTAAATCATTACTCTCAACTTACCTGGTGCTAACCCAGCAGTAGCAGGACTTCCCATGGAGGGGTGAGAGAACAAGGCTTGAGAGAAGGCAGACATACTTGACTGGGATACATTACTCAGCCTGGAAGTTGATCCTCCTTTAGGAATAAACTCATTTGCAGAAGGATTTGGTGTCTGTTTAAAATACAATAAATCAAATGTTTCTTTCAAATGAGAAGGGATTTATTTGGGAGATAATACTTTCTAGACAGCCCTACTAGTACAGGTGGTATTTTTAAAGTACATACAGCTTGCTGAAGTGAACAAAGAATACTGGAAGCTGACCTGCATGAACAAATTAGACATGTTTTTAGCTTACATCTGAAGTGTTATAAGCAAACTTTCCATATGAGCAGCTAGTCTACAAATTCATACCACATTTTGCAAAAGGCTTTCCATAAGCATTACAAGTTGGAGAACAGACTTGACAAGTTGGAGAAAACTTTGTCACAGCTGCAGACTGTTCCCCCATGACTTCAGCAATTTCATCTCAAACAAACCAGCAATTTCAAATTAAAGGAGTAAAAATTATTCCTATTAGAAAAGTCACCCCTGCCTCCATTTAAAATAGATCTTTATGTTCTGTTTTTTTGTGAAGGTAACTACTGCTTTAATTACCTGTTTCATTTATCCAGCACCCTTAATAATAAAGACTAATTTGGTGCCATGGAAAAAAATAGAAGCAGGATGATGGTCAAACATACAGTATTTGTTAGAACATAAAATAAACACATGAACAATTTCTAATTTCTATTAAAATCAGTGCAGACAGTTTTGTAGTTTGGGATCATAATGTTCGTTTTGAGGTGAAGTTTTTGTTTGATCTGGGGCAGGGAGGGTTAGAAAAAGACAATCCCAGTTAGAGCTCAAAAGGCAAAAAGCTTATCATTGGACAGCCAATTACAAATTACAGGAGTGAACAAAAACTACATTAAGCCAAGAAATAAAACCAATTATTACATGAACGCACTGAAAATCTTAAAGATTATTAAATTACAGGATTTAGTTTATTAAATAATCTGCACAGTACCTCTCCAAAGTGTCTAAACAAGTTAGGTAAAATAAGAAGACAGCAACTCCTAATAGACAAGGGATACTATTAAGAAAATCCATACTGTTTTTACAGAAAATTATACTGGATTACTTTGGTTTCAGGCAGTTTTAAAATAACCAAATATATCAACTGTTAGTTAAATTACCAATATTGATTTTACCAATATAAAGTGGCATTAGAGAAATAAGTTATTGCCAGATTAAAAGTGAAGTGTGAACATCAATTTAGAGAGCAAAGAAAGCAATTGAGAAGAATTTCTGTTAACTGGGTTTTAATACCTTTATTTGATTATTTCCGCTAAATATCATAGTATTAATGTATTTCAGTGTGCTGAAAAAGAAGGCTCTCAAAGTTGTAAAATTAAAGAAGATGCCCAGGTTTAAAAACAAATAGCAAAAATATTCTACCTTTAATCACACGGTAAATTTTAACCCCCATCCACTTTATGATTCCACCTTATTTATCACCTTACATGTGCATGTTTCTGAATATTCAAGGAACAGCTATAACTAAATATGCAGATTGTGAAGTAAAACATATTAAATGGGTAAAGAGTTGACATTAATTTTTAAACTCTTTAATCACAGTTAAGGAAAATATATTAAAATGTGCACTAATACAGCAAAACAAATGATAAGTTGAATTATACAGAACTGAAAACATATACCTGATACATTTATACTGAAAAGGTAATATTCTGGACTTATCTAAATTTAGGTGCAGGAATAACTAAAAGAATATTGTTCCTCTAGATAAAAATTGGCACACAACCATTCAGTGAAATCTGCACTGAAACTGGAGAAAATTACAAAGGTGGTAAAGTACAACTTTTCCAAACAGTGATAGAGCTAAATAGTCATTGAACAGAAAAACTGGGAGAGCGAGGGACAGAATTTGTATCATCTCGCTAAAAGAACTTAATTCCAAGGAACCACAATATGTACATTTTTTCACTGCTAAATGTAGCAATGACACATCCACAGCCCTATCACATCTAAATACTGTGTCAACCAGGTGACAAGGGTGGGATGTGGCATAGAAGCATGCAAGCACAGAAAAAGACACCTTCTGGAAGGTAACTCAGACTTTCTAGAGCAACTGAGAGAGTTCCCAAAATCCCATCCATAGTATTCTGGCTAAACTTTTATCATTTTCACCTACTGATTCAAACTCCTACAGCACAGAGATGCTTCTTATTTCTAAATGTATTTGGCAAACTGTCATAGACCAGTTTTCACATCTAAAAGTTACTAACTTACTACTATGTTACTTACTTACAAAATGGTACTTTCTTACTAAAAGTTACCTATAATCATCAAAAATTTTAAATGCAGCTTCACTTTAAGAAAAGAGCTCCACCTTAACTGGTAGGTGTTTTAATTTATCCAAGTGAAAGAGTCAAACCCAGGAATCTGCTAGGGCTGATCTGGTTTATGCTGTAGAATTACAAACAGCAATGGGTCAAGTCTGATGGAAGTTCAGTTTCATTCCATTTTATGGTATCACAATTCAGGATGAGCATCAAAGCCTAGTAAGATTAAGCTGTTTTTACATAACTGATGAAAATGTTGTATATGAGTAAACAGCTGTGATTTATGAACATAGACCCTATACTGTGAAAGCCTGTTTTACTTCTCTGTGATGCTACCAACATGAAGCTGCAATCCAAGACTTTTTCCTCTGGTAAAAAAAAGTGATTTAACATTTGGTTACAATTTTAAAAGACCCTTCCATGTTCAAGTTGTTTTCTAAATACAGAAAAATAGTCAAGTTCCACAGTCACTAGCCAGAATAAACTAATCAAATTAATACAGCAAATTCTAGTGATAGGTGGTCAAAACTAGCAAATACTGTCAGACAATTTGAAGCTTAAGCTCCAATCCACATTTAAATTCCTTATCTCTACATGAAGCTGCATTTCTCAAAAACTTTTATGCTTTTGAAAACATTTATCTGAAGTAAAATATTCATTTTTCTGAAAACAGTTTTCTTCCATGAAAATAATTAAAATAATGAGGCTAGATTAAGTGACCAAACTAAATGAGGGAATGTAAATTACTATTAGCTCTTTAATATTTAATATCTTAATTAGTTTTGAATCTTTGTAGATAACTATTTTACAGCAATGACCATGCAAATATGCCAAAATCAGAAAACCAACATTCTTAGTGGCCAATGATTCAAAGTATTATATTCTTGGCCTTTCACTCTGTCAAGGCATAATACCTTGGCCTTTCACTCTGTCAAGGCATAAATTCCAGGTTTAGCTTTACATTTGGATCAATTGTAAGCTTGAAAATCTGTTTAAATGGTAACCATGCTTTAGAACCTGACTTTTCCATTAGTGTCTTACCAGACTTCCCAAGATGACATTAAAAAATTTAAACTTTTATAAGAATTAAAATAATCACTATCATTTTAGTGAAAACATTTTTTCATTCTGTATTATGCTTAAATTTTGCAAAAGCACACCTTTTAAACAAATTTAATTTCATTACTAATTAATTATTCATCTCAGAAAAAAGTAATTTATTCATGCTATATGAGGTTTAAAATTTGAAGTCAGAATAAATCAGGATTGGTAAAATATGTAGAGAAAATGGGTACTGAAAACAGTTATTAATTTTCAGGAGTAACTAGAAGAATGGACATGCAAGAATCATGTAATGATTATGCAATACTGTGATGTCAAAAAGTACTTTTAAACCCAAAACAAACAAACAAAAAAAAACCTACTAGCACTGTCTGCACTGTGTTAAATAAGTCTAATTTCAGTTTCAAATGTAAATGTTCCGTAAAAAGGCACACACAAAATTTCAAAATGCTAATAAGTACGTTTTCAACAAACAGCATAAAAGAGAAGGAAGTACATCTGTGTCAGATACGTTATGTATTTCTAGCAAACCACCTATGGTGACTTCAGATACCTTTGCTGAAATTGCCATCATTCCCTGTTCCTCTCAACCGTGCCAACTGAAATCTCATCCCCTTCTTCCAGTATATTAATAAAGATGTGTCAAACTAAAGCAGTAAAGCAACTTCCCTAATTATTACCTGAATTTTAATATCATGCATTCTCAGAATGATTCCACGAAGAAATTTCATCTAAATACCCTGTTCTCAGATTCTTTATGTCCATGCCAGTCAGCCTTGCAAAGAAACTTCCAAAGACAGACCACAAAACTGAGTCCATCCAGTTCCACTTACAAAAACAATTCCTACACTTCTGTACTTCGGAGTGAAAAAAACACTTTATCAATACAGTCCAAATGAAGACTGATTTTAGCCACAATGCAATTACTAAGGATGGAAAAAAAAAGGTACAAAAGGAGGCCAGGACTATTAAACTACTTATTTGTGTCACCAGTCAGCTTAGAATTTGTCTGGTGACTTTTATGCTTTTACTATTAACAGGGAATAAAATTAAAATATAGCATGGAGGGGAAGAAGCCAAATATTCTATGAGTATCACAAAAAAAAAAAAAAAAAAAAAAAAAAAAAAAAAAAAACCAAAACACAAAAAACACTCCAGAACAATTTAAAGGCCCTTAAAAGAATATACAGGTGAAAGCAAAGAGCAAGCCAAGGATCTAAGCTGAAGACCATGACTGGAAGGACTACACAGCAGCATGTGGCATTACTGTATGTTAAGGAGTTGCACATAACAGATTTCTGCAATCCAGAAATAAAATCAAAATTCCTGATTCATTAACTAGAAACTTTGATACACATGATTTCTCTTTATGCTTCTCAGTGATAAACTTGTAAGGCCCCAATGCTGCATTAATTAATAAATGAATCCTCAAAGTGCCTTTAAGTACAGAAGTGAGCTGGAATACAGGGATGTACGAGTTATGAAGCCTTTGGAAAATCATGCAGGGATCCCACAGGAATACTGGAAACCACTCTTCTCTCTCTCTCTTTCATTTCTCATTCAGCATCTCTCAACACAGCTGTACAGCAGCAGCACAGACACCACATCAGCCTCAGAGGCTGTAATAGTACTTCATTAGCTTGGTTCTGGTTCCTCATTCAACCAAAGCCTGCTACCTAACTCAAAAAGTAAGCCAATCTCATTTGATTTCAGAAAGATGTGCTAATGTACCTAACATGCTAAAAACTGGATACAAGCTTCTTTGTTCTCTTTTTATGTTCTCCTTCACTTCCAAATTTATGCTTATCTGTTCTGACATCCCAAATTACATAATCGTGTAATGGTTACAGAAAACCACCACTAACCCACAACCATGCTATAAAGCAGGGCACTCCTTTACCAGTCTGTTTTTGGCACAGTTTTCATAGTATCTCTTAAGAATACAGAAACACACTGAAGTTTTTCTTGAATTTAACATGTTATTTTGTTGTTGTTGGGTTTTGGGGCTTCTTTGTTGTTTTTTTAATGGGCAGAGGTTCTATATGAGGAGATCCACTTTACAGAGCATTGTTGCAATTCCTCCAAGGATTCCTTGTGAGCCATGACATCAGGAAAGGAGTCATTTTGTGATGTCAGAGAAACCCAGAAGTCATGGGAGGTCACCAAGGACTTCAAAGCAAATCTTTCTATCTCACCAGTGAATTTGTGTAACATGCTACATTATTATAATTATTGTGAGAAATCATTGCATCACTCTAACAATAGGCTCTAATAAATTTCAATTTGCCAACATTATTATTTATGTTACTCTACTGCTCTTACAGAAGCAATAAGAGTCAATTTCATTAAAACTGGGTAAAATTTGTTAGCTAAATATTTATTGGTTTATAAACCAGATCACAGACTCAGACAAAACTATTAGTGAAGTCTTGTTACAACTCGCAAGTAGATCTCACTAAAAAGTAAACTTTAAAATTAGATTTGGAATATTTTCATGTTTCTTTAACAAAAATCCTTCAAAGCACTGTAAAAACATCTAAAATGTTAGAGGTCTATGCTCCTAATGCAACATACTTGAAAAAATTCATTTCTATGATTATTTTTTGATCAAGAAGCAAAAAATCAGTTATTGATAGTGAATAAAAACAAATCTGTATAACTAAAATGTATTGATTCCTACTATTCTAAGGAGGATTACATTAGCTATTATTATATATATCATGTGGTAGTATAGTAGCTCAGGACATTTCCTAATATAAGGTAGAATATATCAACATAAAACAAACTTTGATTTGTGGGGTTTTTTTTTGCTTTTTTAATGCACAACCCGGAGTACAATTCACTCTGCAGACTTCACTTTTAATCATGTAACTGTAACACCATATTTAAACAAAACAGATTGGGCTTATAAATTCATAGCCACGCAGGAGTAACAGTTTAAATTATTTTACAATGCAAGTTTTAACACATTTGCTTCTTCAGTCTTGCCAGACTCCACAGCTGCTCCTCAATCTCTCCTGTTTCTCCTTCAATTCTATTTATTATGGCTGGCATATCCTTCTGTTCGTATTTCCACCACATGCGCATATACATGCTTTGTTAAAGCCCACACCTCCATGGGAAGCTATGCAACTGTATCATGTATTGCAAAATCTTAAGCCACACATACTTTAAATCAATTATGCAGCCAGGATTCTGGTGCAATAAAGGAGCCTGGAACTGCATACTTCAAAAGCTACGTGCTCTGCAACCAGTCCCAAACACTGCCAACCTCAGAAAGCATTGGGAGCTTGAGCTTCTTTCCCTGTGCCACACTTTGAACACTACTCCAGAGTGCACAGGTACTGAGAAGACAACTGCTCCTGGCAAAAAGCCCCAAGTTTCAGGCTACTGCCTCTCCAGCCTCCAAAAGCATTAAGTTCTTTTGCTTCTAATCTAAATGGAGCAGATTAACAATAAAGCTTGCATCACTGTATAGCAAGAAAACAACAGAGGACTGGAGTGCAAACAGGACTTTTTTTGCTCATTAATGTCAAAAACAAAAGATCAATTTTCTGCTTCTCTCTTCTCAAAACTGTCTTTAATTATGGCTTACATTCATTGCTAGATACACACAATAAATTTAGTTTGTCAATTTTCTCACCCTTCAAAACAGTACTGCTTCACAGGCTCTCACCACTGTCATTCAAATGTAAATGTTTCCTTTAAGCTTCATCTTTTCTCCATCAGTGACTGTGCTGCTTCTCCAGCAGCAAAAGGGCAAGAAAGACTGAAGGTCCAAATGTCTCTAAACTACATAGCATCATGCCACCTAGATCACACTGCCCATGACTGCTCATTTCAATAACACTGAGATGTCCAAACATCAACGAAAGCAAAACTAGTATCAGTGTGGAAAGGAGCTCATACGAGCATCATGCTGGCCCTTACATGGCAGAAATTCAGTGAACTGATAGAAAATCCTGAAATGCCACAATTTAAGTCTTAATTAAAAGTCTGTTATCAATTTACCCACTTCACTTAGAAAACAGCAAAAACAACATAACCCTCATAGGAAGACTAAAACAATTTCTGAGGAATCAAAAGCACTACACAAGTGAAAAAAGTATTAGCAGCAGTGGTGCAGTTCCCACCAGTGTAATAATTCCCATCTAACCTCCAGTTTAAGGGATACAAAGCAGATTAATCCTAGGCTATAATTATTCTACATTTTCATCCCAAGGATTACCTGCTACTTTGGTAAAGAGATATTCAAATCCAGCTGTACCACCCCCCTCATTACAGAGCTGAAGATGTTGAGGAATAAAGTAAAATAATGGTAAGAGTTGCATACATTTCTCAAACAAGTTGAGAAGTATAAACTATCCCAACATAAAAATTAGGAATTTATACTTCCTGATCATGATGGCAATGTCTTCAAATTCTGTACTGAAGGTATCTATTTTCATTGTGTCAGTCATTTTAACAACAATCACCAATTTTACCAGTAAAAAGCTTTCTCAGATAAGAATTAAAAGTTTGCAGCTGTTTGCTTTTAGAATACATTTAATGATTACTTCTGCTCCTTCTCCTCAGATTATACCAAAATGAAGTAACGTATATAGTTCAGCAATGGGTGAAGATAATTAAATATCTCCAAATCACTCTCTTAGAGAACCACTATGCCTATTATGTGAAATAAATATTTGATTTGATTTTAACTCATACTTGGAGTAACTCCTTCTAACATTTTCCAAAACTGAAAATAAAACATCCAAAATACTGAAAAATGACCAGTAAAAAATAATTTTACCTGTAAATTGTTTTCTGTGACTCTGTTCCACCAAACCATATTGATGGGTACTCCTGTTTTACACCTGTCAGGCAGACAGCCAATAGGGTTCTTTGATTTTCTTGCTTTTGATCCCACCGGAACTATCCTCTCATCCAGCATTCCCAGTCGATACTTCCTGGGCTATGAAAAAGAAGGAGAGAAACCAGGCCACTCCTAACAACCCTCATCTAAACCTACACTAAAATAGGTATTACACTATGACATGATTCTGGATTGGTGGAATAGGAAACAATTTGCAAGTAAAATTTAACTGAGACTGTTTCCTTTCAATCCTGACTATTTGGTTATAATAAACAATGCATAAAAAACATAAAGAAAATAAACTTCAGGGACTACTAATTATTTGTAAGTAAAGCCATCCACCACAAGTCAGCCACTGAAATATGCACATAAATTTGGACATTCTGTCCTAATGAGAAATTGTTTAAAAATAAATATCCATATGTCCAAAATAAATACCTTCAATCACATCATAATAATGAAAACCTCCCTTGAAATTTCTACCAAACAAATTTTAAATTCAAATTTGCTATGACTCATCTCCTAAAAATTTGCTTTTAAAAGTCAGGTGGAACTGAGTAGCCAATTGCAGCAGAGTTCTGAGAAAAGCATTTCTGCTCAGGTTAATGTTTAAAAAAATAACTTCAGCTACTGTCTTAAGTGAAAACAGACAAGAATTACTATGACAAATGCATTGGGAATTGTCATAAAATAGAGAAAATAAAACATATTTGAGCAAGTTAACATGCAGGAATTACTTGCACCTCATTTACAGTGACGTTTCTATTACACTGGCAATGATCTCTACAAATTGAACTATTTATAAAGAATTACATGAACATTAAATTCAAAAGGCACACTGCAAAAAAGAAAATCTGTTAAATACTTTCAAACAGGTAAAGTACAGAAGTTTTCTAGATTTCTCTGTGCTTTCAAACCTATGTGTATCTACCTAGATAGTAAATATCATCAAAGAAATATTTCAGTATCTATGCATATTTAGACCAGGACTTTTACGTCAATTATATCAACAATTGGATGAAACTGCAGGGGTTGGCTGGTTTTCCTTTGCTGTGGGGTTTTGTTTGGGCATTTTTATGTGACAGTGTAATCATCACCTGGATATAGATCACTCTAAGTAATCAAAGCTTAACTTACCTTTATTTAGATATCTATTTCACCTAGCACCTTAGAAATCTTAGCAACATGTACCTTCATACACACTTTAGAAAATATACCTCAGAAAACAAGGTAAGAATCTAACTAGAGAAGACTTCCCACTCACACAGAAACAATTTGTAAAACACAGGACAAAACTATCATAAAATGGCTGAAAAACAAAACCTGAATAGATTCTCTCCTCTACTTCCCTGGAACCTTTTAGGCTGAAAGCTTTGGAAAGAATTAAACCACAATGGAGTCAACAGTACCCCATTTGCCAAAAAAACCCAAACAAACCAACACCTCAAAAAAACCCGCAAAACCCACAAACAAAACAACAAAAAATCCCCAAGGATATCAACATGGACTATGAACTACCAAAGGCAACAAACTCCATGGAAGAGTTAACCAAACTTAGTAATTATAAACAAGGCTGAATTTTAGCATACTAATTAGAAATCTGTGATGGGTAGCACAAAGTCCTCCTGCAGTTCAAACACACGCTTGATCATGGCAAATCTAAATATTGGTTGTTTATTAGGAGAAACACTCAACTATCAGGCAACTTGTCTCAGTAAATCAGAAAGGCTACTAAAATCTGAACCTGCAAAGCCATTAGAGCTGAGAAGCGGGACATTCAAGCAACATGGGACTGTAGGGCAGGGTTTGAACACAGTATGTATTTTTCTTAGGCCAACTAGTGTAAACAATATGATGAAGAATAACAGTTTCCCTGGAAGCTTTCCCCTCTCTCTCTTTTCCTATGCTCTACCAAGTGCAGGGGCACAGTCTGCCTCAGACTATTGGACTACAAGCCAGTGCCCAAACATGCTTCCATTCACAAAGAGTTCTTCTAATCTTCTATAATAACAGGTTGTCTACAAATATTTTGAAAAGGAGAACCAAAGCAAAAGAGGAAATAAGCCAATCTGGAAGAAGGCAATTTTGGTCACAACAGGATTCAGATTCCAGACAACAAGATGAAACTGCATTCTAGACTTTATTAAAGATTATATAGAGACAATATGAATTCATGCTCCAATAGTTCTTTACTTACTTGTATTAAAAAAAGAAATTAAGCACTGGATGATCTAAAGAAACACTTTTTTTCTTTCATTACTTATCATAAAACATTAGGGGATTACTAGGTCAAGATTTCATTATTTAGACAGACATTAGAAGATAGACTAGACAATATTAACATTTGGAAATAAATTTTAGTCTATGTGCACCAAAGTAATTCTAAATAACACTTGTTCTCAAAGAGCAAACTTGGATCTGATTTAGAAATGCAATCTGAATTTAAAGGCAGAAAACAGAGTATCTGCCAAGAGGAGTGATTAAACAGAAGGAAAAAACAAATAGATTGAGAAGTTTGAAGCAGTGTATCAACCTTGCTATCTCCCTGACCTCTATTTTCTTCCTACTATATATACCTATATATATATATATATACCTATATTTTCTTCCTACTATTTGCTGTTAACAGTGTCTTTGTCCCTAGTTCCTCCTGTTTCAAGGTCAGTGGGCAATATCACACTTCCCTTTTTTAAATTCAGGATTAAACTGACTTCTAGTGTAAGATGTTCCATGGCCATCGTAGAGGAATAAATTTAACCAAGAAAGTATCTACAAACATTCAAACTGTAAAGACTTTCATGTAGTATTTAAGTCTAGATAAGCTGACAAATCAAACTACACAATTGCAAAGTTTTCTTCTACTCAAGATGTGCAACTTGCTTTATTTCAGGATCACTCAGGTCCCAAATTACATTTCTGTTCCTTAAAGTGCATTTACCTCTAGCAGGTTTTCAATTTCAGATTTACAAGCCCTTTTAAGAACCAAAACATACCCAATTAAATCCAGCACACAAACACATGAGCAAGCTGCTGTGTTTCAAAGTATTGTGAAGAGTCTGAGCTATGGTAATGCTAAGTGCTTCTAATATCAAACCAAATAGCAGTCATCTTAAGCCTTCACCACAACAGGCTAAACAAAGCAGCATCACCTTAAATTACTATAGCTAAAAGTATCACAGCAGCATTAGCTAGGGCTCATCTGTTGTACAGTGAGCTGACTGTATCTGCACATACAAACAAAATATTACATTATCAGACAGAAAATTTTAAAAATCTATACAAACTCACAATTTCCTTGTACTACTTACTGGACTACCAAAATTATTTGAGACATACAATTTTAAATTTCAATGCTGACTTTTGAAAGACTTTTTTTTAAATTAATGGCAAAGAGACCATTAGAAAAAGAGACATTAAACATTAGACTCAGCTAGTCTGCTAGTCTACTGAAAAAAGAGCAATTTCTGTTTTATTATGCTTTTAAAGCTAAAAGCAAAATAGAAGTTCTTGGTGTCATTATTGCTACTTTCACCCAACAACCATAACTGATTATCTGGAATAAGCCAGTACTTGAAACACCACATCATAGACATGAACTTCAATATGTTATTGAGTCCATTTATAGGCACAATCAGCTAAGCAGTACCTTAATTGTGAATACAACTCAGTTACTGTGTATTAGTAAGCCCAATTAAGTGTTACACCTGAACATGAGTCAGTGCCAACAGGAATATCCTAACATATTTGTAAGACGGAAATATGAAAAAGAAAAGCTGTCTTTTAAGAGAAGTTAAACTGTTTAGATTTTGTGGCCCATAAAGCTGCAAAACCCCTCTACATGGACTGGGTTAATTGTTAACCAAAATACCCTCTACTCTTCCTTTTTTATAACAACCTCCCACTGGTAGACAGGCAGACTACACTTGTGGTTTTTTGTATCTCAGCTTCTGTAGGCTGGAACCAATTTTTAAATTTTTGATATCCACAAAAAAATGGAACGGGAGGTTAAAAATAATTGTGCAGTTGGCTGGTATTTGTTGTTGGGTGGAGGGTTTCTCCCCTTATGAAAAAAGAAGACATGCTAACATTTATAATGCTTTTTTTCGGTATACATCAATATTACATGCATTTAACAGACCAGACACCCTTCCATCCAGATTGCTCATGAAAACCTGGGCTGGGCCGAGGTCAGAATTTCACTAGTTGAAAAGTATAATACAAAGACAAACATGATGTATTCTTCTACCCCAAGAAAACTTAAGTGCAAAATTTGACATGGAAATGTGTCTTATTCTAGAGCTTTTTTTTTTCTGATCACAGGAAAAAAACTTTCTTGATTTAAACAAACTTTAGAGATCCAATAGATCAGGCACTGTATCAGACATTTTAAACCATAGCTAAGGGAAACTTTGCAGGTGAATATTATTTAAAAAGTTTATTTAATGAGTATATATGCTGAAAGCATGAAAATCTTGAAGATTTCAGAAGCAGCAAAACTGACATAATTAAGTCAAATGTTTTCTCATCAAGTTTGCAGCCTAGCTATGTTGGGATGAGGTATGAATTACCACAACTTTAAATCTTGGCATGGATTTAATTATACTGACAAACTTCTTTACTACTATTGAATTGATGTAAACTGATGGAAAAGCAGACTTTTTTCTACCACCATTGAAGTAGATAGTTCTAACCATAGTGAAGACTTGTCAGAATACCACCACCCCAAGATGTACTTTCAAAAACTCCTAACTTCTAAATGAACACTATGGGCAAACCACAGATTTTCTTCAAGTTTAAAGGTTTCTTTTAATAGAACAGAAATTTTTGTGTTACTTACAAACATGTGGGAAAATCATGTGCAGATACCAAATATATAGCTAAGAGGGTTAAAGGCTGATGCAGCTTTTACTCTGATCTTTACTAGGCATGATTTCTCAAAAGTGGCATATTTTCTAGCTGCTTTAAATATTTGTATAGTGCCTTTAATTAACATGTGCAGAAATCTAAAAAAAATTTAATTATTTTACTGCAAATCACTCTTGAAGACTACATGCACCTTGGCACAGCAAGAATCAAACAAAGCTTGCAAATATAAAGAAATGCATCTAGCATGTCAGTTACATTTCAAGTTATTTGACTTCAAATATACAAAAGGATGAGGCAGCAAAATGTAAAAGTGTTACATATATTTAAAGGGGAATGCTTTTATTTACTTTTTATTTTAAGTTTGACTTGTGTATCATAATGATCACAAATTCACACACAAAAATAAAAGCGAATAATATATTCTCTCAAGACACACTTAGAAGTGAAAAAAACATTTATCTAAATAGTAATAATCAAGACAGCAAGAGCACACAACCGAGGAACAATTCCAATAACTAACTATTCAAAGAAAAGATGTAAAGTAGATTACATTACATGTAAAGCAGATTATATTATATCCTTGTAACAGATTTTAGAACCCGGTACTACCTACAAACATTTATTAGTCTTCTCATAAAGCATAGTCCTTCTGCATTGCCACAACAACTTATTTTAGCATCAACTATTATGTTTTATTATTGCAGTATGGGTGTATAAATCCCAGAAGGAAATATTTAGGTTTGAAATATAAATTTCGCCCAGGTACATCATAGAGTCTGTGCAGCCATAATTCTGTCTCTTAGAACACAGTGACATGATGCTTGATCATTACCCCTCAACTCATCAGAACAAGATTGATGCTTCTGAGATCATATGCAGGAGGCTCTGAAAGGTGAAAACTGTCTCAACACATTTTCATTCAAAGTAAATCCAGCAAGACCAAAGATGGCACATAAAGCTTTTCAATGAACACCATTGAACTAGATAATGATCAGAGATGTTAATATAGAGCTAGATGGAAACAGGAAGCTGCAGAGAAATATAGCTTCCCAAAAGGTAACAAAACTAGATGGGAGGCAGCTCACTCAAAAATAAAATAGCAACCATTTAAGTCTTAAGAATTTAATATCCACAGGACCTGAAATTATCCTTATTGTTTTCTTTTAACTTGAGAGGTCAAACTCTTCTCATACTCATTAAAAAGCTTGCATTTATGCAGACTAGGCTTACAGGCAGTCTTTGCTTCAAATAATTTTCTATGCACATTTATGTCTGCTATTCAAAGTAAATGAGTTAAGTATGCTGTCCAGTCTCACTTGCTGTAAATCTCCACAGATGGCACTCAACAGCTGCACCCTGTTTGGGGTGAACTTCAATTCAGATAATCTCTCTCATACTTTCCTTTCTAATCTAGAGGTTTTGTCCTTGCCTTTACTCATCTAAAACCAGTGGAAGGTATTCTAGAAAAAATTGCTTGAAAATACATAAAAAGCAGCATTAAAATAATGTTTAGAGTTGTTCAGTACAGCAATTTCACCCCTTGCAGCCTGTGAACTGAAGTTATTCTCACCTTAAAGGACCTCCTCTAGGTGTGACCGAACAATTAAAAAAATGAAATGGAAATAAGTCAGTGTTAGAAACTTTCTGTAAGAGTTCAGTTTTCATGAGGATTGAAGGTATGAAAAAACAAAGTAAAATGTAAAAGCAAATGCTTTTCACTATTCTGTAAGGCTGACCAGTGACAAATACAGGAACCTTTTAGCCTGGATTGGTGGCAACAGTCTCAGAACAAATTTAAACGTAAGTTTCATAATATATTTTCATCTTAGTACATTAAGCTGTCATGTCCATGGCTAAAGTCAACTTGGGAAAAACACCTAGGAAGTTCAAGTTCAGAATGCCACCCTATTTTTAACAAGCATATCATGTATTTGAAGAAAAGAAAAATTAAATAAGCATGACATCATTATTCTTGGGAAAGGATGTTAGTCTATTACTAACTCTAGCTTTTGTTCCATGCTTCACAAATCCTATTTGTGCATTGTAGATTAATACTTACCTAAAAATCTCATATAGGAAATTCACTTTAAGGTTGCTTGTCTTACTGCATGTGGAGTTACAACAACCGCACAGTAAATCCAGAAGGTTTTACAGTTGACAGAACCTCCACCAAGGCTCCATCTACAGAAAAACTTAGCTCCTTTGATTTCATTTTAAGTATCCTATAAAAATGTCTTTAAACAGTAATCTTAGCTTTCCTGAAATCTAAAATCGAAATGCAATTTAATAATTTCTAAACAGAGATTCTTATCTTGAGAATGTTCATAAAAGTTCAATGACTATGTTTATTTTTTGAACAGAAAGTAAAATGCCTCTAAACATCAAATAATCAAAAGCAAATTAAATAGCTCAGTCATAGTAATTAGTTTCAAAAATACTGTCTAATAAAAAAGCAAGGATATTCCAAATTACAATCCTCAACTTATGTTCAGTATTTTATTGATCTCGACTATTTCTCCATATGGCTTGCCCATTGTTAAAGGGCTGCCACCATAACATGATCAGCAACATTCAGAGACAATCAATAAACTTGCTTAACAGAACTACATAGAACATGCTTTTACAGAAACTATTCAGTTTTACACAACACAAACATGCATAGTTTTTTACACAGTTCCAAAAAACTTAATACTTCAACATATTATGAATTAGAATTGTGATATTTTTAAAGGAAAGCAATTGTTCTTTTTTCACTTACCAGGACTGTATTATATCTGTCCTCCAAGTCAGTGATAAACGAAGGAAATGCTGGTTTTGCCAGCTAGTTCAGAACAAACAAAACCTTAGACTTGGGCTCTTAGTAAGATAATTGAGACTTTTTCAAACAGTAGATGTTGTAAACATGTACATTTGAACTAGTCACCAAGGCTCCCTTTATACAGCAGGCACCAAGCACTGGCCTAATAAATCCCATTGTTCAAGCTGTAAAAACTCCAGTTAATGGGGTAGAGGGGAATCACACAAGGTTTTAAATACCTGGCACGCAAGCACTTAATGCTTTTAAAGAAATCACTTCAGACATTTCGGATATTGTAATAAAAGTACTAAAAATATTAAAAAACTACATCATAACTACTTGCCATGTATTGATTGGCAGCAAAAAGTCAGTCACAAAACTTATTAATTTCTCATAACTTTAGCCATCAATTTTTGTCCAATTAAACCAATCACCAACATCTGGTCATTTCCAAAGTGTTTTTCTCAGTGAGAGCTATATGTTTCTTTAAACTACTCATCCCCTTGTGCTGACTATAGAGGGAGCCTGGACGCCTAGATTTGCACAGCTCAAGCAGTATTTTATCAAAACTTCCCCATTACCAGTATTTAACAACCTTTAATACAAGCATACATTAAAAAATAGCAGTCATAACAGAAATAAATTAATATTCAAAGTAAAACACAAACATCTTTCAATTAATGCCAGTTATAGCTGAAATGCTAACTAGGAAAAAAAAAAACAAGTTAATCAATTTCACAGCTAAAACTTACTCTTAATACTATTTTAGCAGCCAGTGCCTTAATTTGCTTCTTTTTCTTGAAGAAAAAAATACATTAAGTCAGGAAGCACTCTGAAATACTATTTGAGCTTCGAGGTATTTGTGCTCTACAAGCAAACATTAATAGGTTTGTTTTCACTTTGTGCCGCTTAACTTTGAAGTATTTTTAGAGACAGTGGTCATTCTTACAATACTTCTGTTTGATAGCTTATTTCCTTTGGTGCGTGTGGTTCATACACAAACACAAGTTTACACCCAGGTATATACATACATATGTGTATATATTGGCTCTCAAAGTCTGTGTTAAGGAGGAATGCACAATTATTTTTCATTTTTACGAGCCTTGGCAAGTAGATAAGCAACACATTTATATTTCTTTACATTCAACTTTCCGCACAGTTTGCTGGCATTAAGGAAAAGAGCAATGCAGATATTCCATGTAACTGGGATACAGCATAGTATTAGAAAATTAATGCTCAACAACAGCATTTATATTTAAAAAACAGTGTGATGGACCAACTATAGCAATTATCTTTAAGCTCAATCTTGACCTGCAGGAATAATACAGAACATGCTGATGTAGCTTGCTTTCATTATTTACTACAGGAAAGCTCATGATAATGTGGCTAATAAGTAGTAGAACATGAAAGTCACCAGTGAAAGCAAAACTTAATAATTGGCTGGGACAAGATAATACCTGGTTTTGGTAAGTGGCAGTTCATGAAAATGAGAAAGAACTCTCATGTAATCAAACTTTTGTCTCTTATTCCAGCCTCTGAGTGTATAACTGGAAAAAACCACAACTTGCACAGCTGCAGGTCAAAGGTGTTTGAAGATGCTGTCTAGCCCTCAGCAAAAGAAAGATTTCTCAATACAAATTAGAGGAATGGGAAAAAACCCCAAACCCTCACTTCCCAATGACAAAAGTGTCTTTTAACCTAAATGCATTTCGAGCTGTTATAATTATTATTGCATAACATACAAATTAATGGAAAAATTGATTCTTAATGCATTTTGAACTTGCTCCTACAAAGGCTTGCAGGTCACATGTCCCTTAGTAGAATAAAAATTTGTTTTCAAATTCAGTAGGCTATGCACTAAGTTCCATATTCCATAAACTTCAATTTACAAGTGCCTGGAGTATTTCTTAATAGTAGCCACAGTCTGATCTGATGCAGCAAAAGTGAAGAAGATCTTATTTATATCAGCAGCAACACATTAAAATAAATCTAGAGAAGATTTTACCCTTATTTCATGCAGCATTTCAAGTTATTCCAGATCTTCTTCCCTGTCAACTCATATATAAATATGCTAATTATGATTTAGTTGTTGCCTACCTTCCTCCTTTGAGACACGCTGAGGGCAGCAAAGTCATTAAACAAGGATGAATTTGGTGAAGTTAGTGGATCTATAAAACCAATGTAAAACCAAGGTGTTATATACATATATATATATATATACACACTTCTAAAAGAAATCGTATATTATTAACTTATTTCTGTATGGAAAAAATCCTTTTGACAAACCTAAGTTTAGCAATCAAAACTCCCAGCATTTACTAGATTCTGTACAACGGTATAATTGAAATGGTGCTCATTAACAGAGTTCAGTAAGTTTCATTGATGTTGACACTATTTAAAGACCACCTAACATTTCACAGCCTTCATCTGATCAGAAAACCTGTTGTAAGTGCTCCTTACATTTGCATGTCATTTTTAACCCCGTATCTAATACATTACAGTGTTTCCAATTCACCAGAAGATCCTCTGAAAGGCTTGACAAGCATTGGAACAGGTTGCCCAGGGCAAGTGCATGAGTCACCATCCCTAGGGGCTTTGTGTAAATGTAGTACTGAGAGAAAGCTTCAGCAGTGCACTTGGCAGCGCTGGGATAACAGTTGGACTGGGTCTTAAAAAATCTTTTCCAGCATGAAAGATCCTATGATTCTCTGATTTCTGGTTACCTGAAATCAGCAATCTTCTGTGTAAAAGGTTTTAAAAATAATGATGTGGATTTTGCTTGTCCTGTCACTGTTCTACACAACAAATTTAAATCAGAATCAAGGACAGCAGAAGTCCACATTCCATTAATAACTTTTTATTGCTATTTCTTTGTATTAATCTTTTCCAGAGTTGAAGTACCAAAACCTGCATAACATTCACAGATGCAACTTAAAACTCCAAACCACATAGCTAAAACTTTCAAATTAGCAGATGACTGCCAGCTGTAAACATTGGTGTTTTGATGAAACACTTTCTTCAACATTAAATTCTTAACAGAGAATTTATCTTGTATTTGTTCAACAGTAAATATTCTCCAAAAGGGCAATTCTGCAAGTGAAGCACTGCTTGGCAGAGCCAGGGAGAGAGAGGGGGAAGGATCTGAGACATGATAAAATTTAAAATGGTTTATAAAAGTTGGTGTGGTTTCTCTCCTTGACATGCATCACCACTACTATTTGGCCTGTCACACTCAAACTCTGACTGCATTTAGAACTGGAGACCTCCACTGCCTTGAATAGCTAACTGTTCAGCAGGACAAAGAAGCAGAGTTAATAGCAAAGCCTACTGGAAATAAACTAGGAAGAAAAAACAAGAAAATACCCACAAGTTTTGACTTTCAATCAAGTTCATTGTATAGTAGTTACTACCATGCTTAAAAGTTGTAATACTAGTAAGTAGACTAGCTGCAGAGTCAGACATGCAAATAGAGTTCTAGCATAATTTACACAGCAATTTTCCAAGCAGAAATTTATTTTAAATATATGTCCTTGCCAGAAGGGACCAGTACACTCTTTAAAGAACGTAATTTAACAGTTACAGCTGAAATCATCTGTAATGATTGTGAAGAGCACATTACAAAGCTCAGTACAGCCTCTACAATAATTTAGTGAGTACACAGGCCTCCAATATCAAGATATTTTCTTAAACTGAAAACTATGTAAATAAAACATCTTCCTGTAGCAAGGAAAAAATTATAAGAGGCAAAGTATTGCCTGCAAGACAAAACTGAGTAGCTATTAAAAATCAGTTATGTGACGCTTCACAAAATCCACACACCCTAAATTTAACAGAAAACACCTGAACACTAATCCCACACAATAACCTATCCAAGAAGCATCATAAAAAGGGATACTGTGGTGAAGTAACATAAATGCTTAAGCTATCAGTGCTTCACAGTAGATATCCAAACTAACATTTCACTTGAAGTGACAAGACTGATAATGACTAAATTTTTTCCCCACAGCAAAGAGAAGGCTAAACATTTATAAGTTCATTACACTACCATTAAAAAAAAAATTACTGCTGTACCTCAAATAAAATCAGAGAACAAGTAACACTCCCTTAAGCCTCAGTTTTGTGAATCTCTCAAATTTTCAAACATAGTTTTATATGTGTTACTTTAAATATACTTACCATGGCCTGCATACTGCTTGGCACTGTCATTGAGAAGGCTAGGGGAGCTGCTGCTATTTGTCATCCTCTGTAGAAATAAAAGATTAAAGTGTACATGTAAAATAAAGCCTTAACAGATTACGTGAGGGCATTGGGGATGACCTTTAGAAAGTTTTAAGGACAGTCTATGAAACTTGTGCTCATTCCCCATTTAGTAAATAGCCTAAGCAAACAGACTTGTAATTGACAAAAACGTTTAGTAAAATAAAGGATTTTGCACAACAGAAATGCAAACAAAAAATTACTGTATATTCAAATGAAACACTATCTTCATTAATTTCTTCTAAACGAGGAGGATCTACCAAGCCTATGGTTCTCTTCCTGCATGTTGTGAAAACATTAGATAAGACAATTACTTATCTCCTTAAAACAGTCTTTCACACTGCGCTTCTGAAACAACTACTGCCTTTAATATACTACCACCATGAAGGGAAATTTCTCCAATTAAAAACTTAAGTATCTGATAGATTCCTTTTAAAAACAAAAGAACTTTTGAGACCTTTCAGCAAAACATCCGATTCCTCCAAGTCAGCAAGACATCTGAAACCCTTTTAACATTCCTCCTAGGCTCCACTCGCTTCTCCTACGTTCCTCTAGAGATACCAGTTAGCAATAAACTAGATTAAAGTGAAGCAGTGCTGCTGTAAGAGCTACTGCTTCTTTCATAAAGAAGTTTTAAAGTGTGTCTTCTTACTCCTGCTTATTATTTTCTTTCACCAGCTTCCCAACAGGAAGAAAAACTGTGAGAAGAAAAGGCAGGCAAAGTCAGGAAGTGTTCTTCATCACTGAGAGAGACAACCACTAATTTGTTAAAATACTCCCTGGCATGCTTTTGGCCCACATCAACCCGGAGTCTCCCAGCCAATTTCCAGGCACTATTCAGCAGTGAAAAGGTTTGAGAACCTTTCAAATTGACGGTTTGCATGCAGACTCTGCTTTAGTGGGTGAGCATACACCAGCACAAACAGGCCCTTTAGTGCCAGCTGGCCCTAAGCATCGAGGAAAGTTTCCAGGCATGTTCCATTTAGTAGTCCAAACACAGAATGACTCAGAACTGGTCACTGGAGCTGCTCTTTACAGTTCTTTTTCTCCATAGCCAGTGTCAATGTTGGTGGTAAGGGGCAGGAAGCTTACTATGTTATACTTCAATGCCATTTCATCTAATTGTTGACCACAAAGATCAACATTCTGCAATAATTTTGGTAAGAACAGAGAACCAACAGAAGTGGGAATGCTATCCAATATGGTAGAACTTTACAACAACTGCAATTTAAGAGTCATATCACTTGCAGTTTTCAGAGCACCACAAATATCACCAAGAGGTGCTGCTTTTAAAACTTTTATCTAAAAGAATAGATGGTGTAAAGTAGCTTTATGTGGAATGCTTACAACATGTAAATAGCACATAAACCTTCAACTTTGTCAAGACTTCAAGCAAGCTTTTTGCTATGTTGTCTTTCCTTATTTTGAAGCCACCTGTCTTTTTCTCCTAAATATACTGACCTCATACAACATAAATATCACTAACTTAAGTTATAAACAATTCTATACACAAAAGGCATGGGTCTAGTGAAAAAAAGCCGACTTATTTTTACAAAACAATGTACCCCTTTGAGAGACCCACACTAAATTGACAAACTTTCCCAAATTCCAGGAGGCCCATCAATTGCTCACAATCATCAAAATAAGACTAAAAATACACCAAAATAATTTCTGGATTATAGTAGCTCAAGTAATCATACACCATTTTCCCTTCCTAAGCAATGGAAAAAAATTGAATAGTTTGTCGCAAATGTTTTAAAAGCATCCGTTATGAGTGGTTTTTTTAGCATTTGAGATGTCCATACCAATCCTCATAAAACAAAAGGGTCTAAGAAGAAATGTCCTAAAGAGAACCTTTCATATTTGCACAATTAATGTCCACTTATAATACCAGATGTAATAATAATTTTAATGTAAAAGGTAATGATTTGTTGAAACAGGAATAAATACAATATTGAGAACTGTGTTGGCATCAAAGCTGGTTAAACACATGGGTTAAACATGGAACAAAGTACTTTTATTCCATCAATATTCATCATCCTCAGGTACAGGAGTTAAACATTCAACCAACCACTTTCAATGTGAACAGGAGCCTGAGATGATGAAAACCAGCGCTGACACAATCACTGAGAACACACAGTGCACGCAAGGCAGACTGCGACAGAGCATATTGTTCTGGATTCTTAAAGCACAGTGCAACCCAAACCTGTGAGCATCAACTGTGCTTTTACAAAGTCAAGTTCCCATTCAAGGTGCTACCATATCTTGAAAAACCAAAGCTTGGGAAGCTCTTGCCTTAACAACTGCTTGTAACCTGTACCTTGAATAGTTAGAAACCTCCACCACATTAATGAATTTTTCATTTTGCTCTCTTTTACTACACATGTACAGGCTTCTTACCTTAAACATTATTCATAGAAGACCTGCATGTAATCAGTAAAGGCTTTTTAAACCATTTTAATATTAAGACTTATGCCACCACCCAATTGCACTTAGTCTTAATGAAGGCCACTCCTGTATCTGATTTTTACCAAAATGGTCTTGAAAGAAAAAAAAAAATAGAAGAACACACAAGTGCTGTTTGTTATTTGTGTTTTCTAGCTTTGATTTTAAATAACACTCCTCAAGCTCTTCTAATGATGTTGAACTATTTTTCATACAAACTCGATTTCATTAACATTGTAAGCACCTCAAGCCCAAGGGATGAAAGCTCCAGAAAGGCAAAAGCAACCATTAATGAGGAAGAAAATTAAATATTAAGCCTGATAGGAAAGGTAAGCACACACATATGAGAGCTTCAGACTGATTTACTACATCAGGATTTTTATCATATGGAAGTTAATGTAGAATGACAACTTTGTGATAACCAAATAAAAAAAACTCAGTTCCACACACTTCTCTTGTCTGCCTGCCTATTGCTATAATTTTCTGAGGTTCTTTAAACAGTGCTCAAAATTCAACTAGGATGGCTGGTATACAACCTGCCCCATCCCCTTTAAAGGAATTTAAAAGTTGTTTCTGTTTTAGCTTTTCCTCACAGGAGGGATGCTCCAGTACCTGCATCCTCTTCGTGACCCTATACTGGACTCCTTTCAGTATATCCCTGTCTCTCATGTACTGAGAAGCCCAGCACTCCAGGTGCGACTTCACCACTGCTGGACAGAAGGGAAGGATCACCACCTTTGACCTTTTCAGGCAGTCCACTTCCTCCATGCAGTATACCAAGAAGAGAAGTGTTACAACAAATATTCCCACCTTCTAAAAGGAACACACTACCTTGCCTCCACCCTTCAATACTCAGTAACAAACCCCAAAATTATAGCTGCACTTAAGGCAAGTTTGCTTTACTTTCATCTCCCTCAAGTGCATATTAGAAAGTTCTCATCAAGATAAAGCACGAATAAAACTTTGATGCAGAGAACTAGATCTAGTTTTACATAGCTTATAAGACTTATCTTGAAGTGACTGTTTTCCCTTTATTCCCTCCACCATTTATTTTCTCCAAAATACCTAAGAGATTATATTTATTCCTCTTTTTCTCTGTATTCCATGCACTAATCCTAAAAAGTAAGGATTTTCCTAATGGTCATACCACAGTGCTAAGCGTATGATCTCAAAACATTTTGCAGTATGTCACAATCTAGTCTCTTCATCTTACTACTGTTTTACTGTAACCGTATCAGAATATTTCTTTATAATTTTCAGATTAATGTTGACTGAAGTATAAACAATCATTCTGCAAAAGATTAAGATTGATTTGTTTGGCTGTGACATTGTTTAGCTGTCAGATTCTGTGACCTACACAGGGTGATATCTTTTGCTTTTCTTTTTAAACAATCCAAAACCTATCTTTGACAGTGCGTGTGGCACCATCTACAGAATGACCCACTCAACTGCTGAAACTAAAGCAACTGGATTTCTTCAGAAAGCATTATGAAAACAACAGCATACATTTATATTCAAAATAGCCCATCTGTAGTTTCACTCCGTTCTCAACAGTTAAAACTGAAGACATTTACAAGCTTCTGTGCTTTAAGGAGAGTTTTATTACTCGATTGTTGGCAGATGCAGCAATGGCAACAAAGGTCTTTGTGTTTATTCAGCTGCAAGGCTTTGAAGTGGGCATGGTTGTTACTTCTCAGGCTATTCAAGAATGCTTAGTACACCAACATTTGCATGGTGAAAGCAAGCAAAAACAATTATTCTCCATTGATTGGACTTGCCAATTTTAATGCTGAAGACTGTTACTCCCTTCCTATTTCAATTAGAATGATTTACTGAGAACTTAGGATACTTCCTTTCTATGTAACCTGAAGACCGATGGAATCCACATTATAAATCTCATCCCACCGAAATAAACAAAACCAGATTCCTGAGAAGCAACATGGACGAAGGCACCTTCTACTGTTTCATGCTCTTACAACCAAGCTGCTCAGTTCTAATACAATGTTAAAAGTTTTAACATCAAGATATTTCTCTGCCTCCTCCTGCTATAATACCCTTTGAACAGCACAACATAATATTATTAAACTTTCTTTCCACACCACCTGCATCTTGGGTCAAGTTAGTCAAAGGGCAGCACTAATGCCAGAGGAACAGTGACACCAGCCAAGCAAGTGGCACACACTGAGCAAACAGCCAAGCATTAGAGGCATCCCAGCCAGCCAGCTCCTGCCTCTCCACTGCTGGGAAAGCCAAAATCGGTGGGCTGCTTTTCAAATCACACCTCTGGTTGTCTCTTGGCAGCTGCTGCTATGCCAAAAAGAGAAAAAAACAGCTTTGAGGACAGCATGCAGCCTGTGGGCCATGTGTTGCACAGGCCTGCTCTGCAGTCAGTTATGATTACTTAGAGAAGGAGAAAAAAGAAAAAAAGTGCTTTGATAAGATGTAAAACTAAACTGTTAATGTAGTATATGAAATAATATACAGATTCAGGGAAGAAGAGACACATTAAATGAAACAGTCTTACGGAAAAACACAAACCAGTGAGGACAGAAGACTATTAGCTAATAGGAAACTAAGTAACAACGGAAGATGATGGGAGACATTGAAAGGTTGGCCAACAGCAAAGACCTTTGAAGCAACAGGAGTGGAAGGATGAGGCAAAGAGGTATTTTTCAGAAAGGAAGAAAAAGGAAGAATTACAGCCACAGCCACTTCAAAAATCCTGCCTCTTCTGAGCTGTACCAAGTACTTTTACTCTGTTTTCCCCACTGCAAAGTGAGTATTGCCATTAACTGCATCTTCATCACTAATCTAAGTCCAAAGATATGCTCAAGGTCTTGTAAAATATTCTTCCACAGACATAAATGAAATCTGAAAGTGAGAAATAGCCATTCTACAGAAATGTTGACTACTATTCATCTACATTATTTATGCTCAAAGCAGCACATCCACTCCCAATTCATCATGATATAATCCACTTTCCTCCCTTTTGCTGCTTACTTAACATGAGTCTTAGAGATCAGGTACTGCACACAAAAATGTGGCAATTGCCAACTTTGATATAGCTTTGCTTGATGCAGTCTGGTTCCATCATATATGCATTATGATAACCCAAACATATACAACCACATCCTCTTTTCAACAAACCTCTGTTTTATGCGCTGCACACGACAAACATATTCTGGAGATCAGATAGGAATAGTCAAGACAACTCATCAGTTGAGTACCTGACAATTATTTTGAGAGGTATGTAGTGAATAGAACAAGGACAGCAGAAATATTATTTCATGGTAACAGAAATAAGCAATACCCTGAAGAGGCTGATATTTAACTATCCTTGCTAGAGTGAGGCCAGTTAAGCAGCTTCAACCAAGTATTTTACTGGTGGTCATTAATTCCATTCATGACTTTGCAACTGTAAAGATTAGTTTCAAAAACTCAGGTCTCTTGTTTGCCAGCACTGCTGCAGTATTGTTTGTTTCATTGCCATCCTTTTCTATCCCATGCATCCATAAAATGTAGACTACTTTTCTGTTTCATATAGAAAGCACTGCAAGAAGTTTGATGAAATAATTGTAATGGCACCCAAAAGAGCACTGCCAACTAAGAGTCTTCACAAGAATGCAAACAGCATGCAGGAATAAAGCACAGAACCATATGATGAACATTTAATCAAATATTAAACAGATGCCCAATACACATGAATGTGCCACACATCTTGTGTTCTGAGTAAGTCCCACTAATAATAATTACACAACATTATGAGAAATACAACTCTAAATATAACCTCAAGGCTGCACTGGCAACCTAAAGTTACCATTTCCTAACATCTTGCTGCATCTTACTACTGTTTTTCTATCGGTGTGTTTATTTGCGTGTTTGTGCAATTTCCCAGTTTTAAAAAACTAGCAGAAGAGCTTGCCTCATTGCATCACTGATGCATCTATTTGCAAACTACACAGGTTCACCAGAGATGACAAAGTAACTCAGATGGAACTGATACTTCGATCTGCAAAAGCCAAACTGGGAGTTAATGAAATATTTTACAGAAGACATCTGATGTTTCATTGATGAGAACACTAAAGTTTTAGTATCTTCAGTTTGATTCAAGAACCTGGAAAGAAATAGGAGCATGGATTTGTTCTCTCCACCCTACTTTGTCCCACCTTTACATCATGAAAACTTGTTTTTGGTTTCTGTGCATTGCATTTGTACCATTCCAGTCCCCATTCTGTGAGTGTCCCACCAAAATCTCTCCGCTTCAGTCTCTTTGCTCAGTCTTTCCTGGTTTCTTCTTTACTTATCTTCAGCTCACCTTCTCTAAGCCCACAGCATATTTTTTTTTTTTCCCCTTACCAACCCTTCTGCTCTAATTAACACAGATACAGCTCTCTTTCATTAAACATAGATCCACTTCCATGCTGCTTCAGACAGAAGTGGAAGAAAAGGAAAAAGGGAAATGAAGCTGTTCAGCGTTCCTGCTCTGAGTTCAGTCAAGGCCTAGATTATGCCAGAGCAGCAACTGCAAAAATGTACTCAAACTAGAGCATGCCAGTGCAGCTTACATATTTGGAAAATTATTTAACATCTAGGAAGTCTCCAGTGGGTCAATATAAACCAGTTCTGAAAAGGTTTAATCAATTGACAAAATCTGTGCAAATGTTCAGAGAAAGCAAGCAAGAGGTATATCCTTGACACAATAACTAGATCTATTAAATAGATATAACAACCTACCAAATTCAAAGTCTCTATTCCAAATCATAAAGGACTAGTATTATTTAAAGTCAAACCCACTAAAATTTCTCCTTTGCCTTGTTCTCCACAGGGCTGAATGACATAGATCTTATTCCACGTGGCTAAACTTTTATCAGTGTGTACTTAACCTAGAAGCTGACATGCAATCAAAACAGACAGCATTACCTATGTAAAGAAGAACTTAAATTACAGGATTCAAAGGAAAAAAATCAATACAGGAATGCCTTTCAAACCGTAGTTTGATGCCCATAAGCACATTCTCAACACTAATAAAATCCTACTTCCATAGTAATTTTCCTTGTCCTCCAATGGGCAAGAGGCACATTGATTTCTTCTCAAAGAGAAACAATAATGCCTTATCTGTAATCTCAGGCATTAGTAAAGTATTTAAAAATCCCATAAGCATTCATGTTAGATGCATGCCTCATTGTCTGTCTTTCTAGAAGAAACAGTTGTACTTAAAAATTGGTGTTTAGAAAGACACTAATGTTTCTGTAGAATACAGTTTAAGGATAAAAAACATAATGACTGTGTTAAAATTATAGGACCTCAGTTATACAAAAATTTGTAACTGCCAGCTTCAATAGTACACTCTGGTATCAGAGGTTAAAATTGTTCTTTTTAAATCATGCATAACTGTCAAGAAAACATTTCCATACTTCTGCAGTTTGTCAAATAAGAAAATCTAGCCTTCTTGAAAACATGCAGTAAAAAAAAACAAACAACCAAACAAAAGAAAAAAAAGGAACACACCTAATTAATTCCCACCTTTTGCTGAGTTATTTTTCAATCCATTATACAGCCACAATTGAGATCAAAGTAACCTCACAAGGAGAGTTTCCTCGATATAAAAGAAGAGAGTTGTTGTCAGGACTCAGTGTGAACTGTTTGACTTGTACTCTCTCATTTACCAGAAGTTGCTTTGTTTACTACAGGACAGACCATCTTCTTTCAGGGACTGTACTTCTTTTAAAATGCATAACACTTTGAGGGAGTTATTATAATACTTCATGTGTTAATTCAGTAGATACTCATTTAGGTTTTACATATGACAGACTTTTGTTGCAAATTTTCCATGATACTACCTACACAATGAATTCCACCTCATGGGAGTTCCTATGCCAACCTCTACAGAACACTATAAATACAGGCAAACATTTCAGAAGATTTAAATATGAATTCAGCATGCCACCACCAGAGTCTGAGTTGACAAATTCTGAAATTTTTGCCTAGTAATTTCAGGTTGGACAGTTCACATTTTCCTTCAATGACTTTGGATCTTTGAAAAGTTTCAAAACCTGAAATTTATATATTTAGCAAAAAGCTATCAAAAGGTATGAACTTAAAAAGAAATCTAGAAAGTCACGTTCAGAAAAGAAACCTAACACAGAACTAAGGTATGCAGCAAAGCTCAACACAACAGCTCATGTAAGTGCAAATAAAAACAGATTAATTTTAAAGCAGTAATACTGCTTCATTTCCATTTGCAAAATTAAAGTTAGGATATACTCTGTATATCATACAAGATGACACATTCCAGAAGGCTCCATTTGTCTTGCCTCTTGAGCAGTTTTTCTCTTTTTGGTGTAACACCAGCTGGAACTAATGAAACATTATACAAATCACTGCTATTACCTGCATCATGGGATACTTCGTTTCAGCAGGACTTCCAAATCCATTAACGCCAATGAAGCTGGTGCTAAAGTATGAATCCGTTAGATTAGCATCAGCTAACCCACCACCATCCATTCCAGGAACTAAAAGGAAAAGAGAAAAAAAAAATAATGCTTCAGAAAAAGCTTCCTTAGCCACGGGTTTATTCACTAGTATCTATTATATATATATTTTTTTTTTTTTTTTTTTTTTTGGCAAGGAAATAGAATATAGTACTACTGTCTTCTCAGCAAAACAACAAAAAAAAATAGTGCATACCATGAAAAAGGAAATTAATGAAAGAAGATACTAAATGAGAGTACTGCTAGCATGAAGTTACAGCATAAATGCAGAAAGAAGCAATGAGTAGTGTGATCTTTAGAAACAAGAATAACAAGGACAATAATGATATCAAAAAGAAAATAAATCAATTAAAAAAACTAGAAGGCAAGCTTATTTTATGAAGACCCATACTCCTGCATGCCCTTCTTGGAAATATATGTGTTAAGTAGAGTTTTGAACTGGATGCACTGGTTCTTTTAAAGGGTAACATATAGAAAACGCAAACTTAAAAATATCTCAAACCCTTTCACAGAAAGCACAAACACTTTAAATGCTTCCTTAAGAGCTTAAGACAATTTTCATCATCTCATTCTTTGTAAAGTGGCAACAATTTCCTGAAATGTAGCCAAAAAAATCCTTTAGATTGAAAGTGTGAAGGATACAAGAAGAAATTCATCCTGCCTAGAAACAAGGGCCTGACATATATTGCTTCTTTAGCCACAAATAAATAAGTTCAATACTAAAAAACTACAAAGAACAACAAGCTGTCATAAGTAACACAAAACTCTCAAGCAGGTATTTTCTTTGACAGGGAAAAAAAAAAAAAGGCATTTACAATAGTATGCAAGCGGCAGTTCAAATGAACCTCCTGTAAAAGCACCCATAGTAAATTATAAAGACACTCATCAGTATGGCCAGGCCACTGCAAGCCAACAGGCATGAGTAATGGGTAGCTTCAAAGTAGGAAGGCACACATCCAACTCAGAGGAACATCCTGTACCAAACTATCCAACTTGAACTTCTGGGAGGACTCGCAGCCAGGTGGTGACACCCGGAAACAACTTCCTGATCCTAATCCTCAAAGGAAATAAAATGCAACTTAGTGGCACAGCCAAAGGAATGCATACTATAAACCCTAAATTTTCAACAGAACAGGAATTTTCCCTCCAAAACAGACTGCATAACCTGGTGAGCCATTTCCATGTGCTAGGCACAGGAAACAGCAAAAGAAGTACAGTCATACATAACCACAGGAAGGGCTGGAAGAGACTGATGAGTAGCACACACACCACAGACAGAAGGAAACACTGTCCAGCTGCACTCCCTTGAGACTAGAGCTGCATGAATCAGTCCACTGGGGGAAACACCAACACCAGTTCAAATGGAGAACTGTATGTAAGAGACCAAATAAATGGAATATCTCAGTGGCAATAAACATCAGTTTTGCAAGGGAAAAAGATTCTTGAACTTTTGCTGCCAAATCTAGAACATTATTTGTATATTCTATAGGTTTGAAGGAAACACCTAAGAAACTTTAAATATGCTAATTATTAATTAATTGCTACTTCTTTTTACAAATATTTTAGAAGTTACCTAAGAGAATAGGAAAATAAAACTCTCTCCACTAGCCATGCTCCAGATCCTCCTTCATAATTTTAAGTAAGTAGCCACACAAACTTCAGAAGTCCTCTTGCTACAGCCCTAAAACAGATAAGATTTTTTGGATTTGTCTTTTAAATGACTGTTCCTCTTTTGCCTTCATTTGGCAAAATCACATTCAGGAGTCTAGGAAAAGTATTTTGTAGTTCAACTACTGTACTATGGAAAACAGTAATGTCTGCAGTAATGCAAATTACTGTCTCATCCTTCCTGCTACAGTCAGTCCCTAACTTACGCTGTGAAGGGTAGCATCTTACATAGGGTTTTCTGGCATCAGGAAAAATACTAGGATTCATTCATATGAGAAAACAAAAACGATAGCAAGTCCATGTCTAATTGTAAGCAGTTTCAGTCCAGTTTGCCCGTAATTGGTTTTAACTGTGTTTTTTATTTATTCTAAAAATACATTTCCAATGAAGCTTTCTCTGCCTATACTGCAGCCATTACCAAAAACTCCTCCAGTTTTTATGCTACACCTTAACCAAGAAAAACTGTTTTATTTCCAGGAACAACTGTCATTTCAAGGTACTCTAAAAAATTTCAGCAGTATATCTGCTACTTCATCTCACGCTTTTGCCTGAAATTACAGAGTCTATCCAATTTTTAACAAGCTAGCAAGATACTCCCTCAGATGACACCATCAGCTTTCCAAATCCTTCAGGCTCTGTTAGAGAATTAAGAAAAAGACTATTATTCCTGCTTCTCCCACTGCTCCTCACTATGCTAGAGTCATCATGGGAATCCAGGTACCTCGAGTTCTCCCTTGAACAAATACAGTTAAATGCACAAAATCCTTCAAACTGGGAAGAGACCAATGAAAACTTGCAAGTTTTTCCACACTGAGAAACTCCAGAGCTGGCCTGCAGTAAGTCCAGACAGGTGGTACACCTCAGCCACCCAATATCCAAAAAAAGCACTTGAATCTGTGACAGTAACCTTGCCAGGGCACAGATACAGCACCGGGTACTCTGCTCCTGCTCTGGCTGAAACACCCTTAGTGCCAGGCAGGTCAAGCTGCAGGTAGGAACAGGCTTTGGGCAGCAACCTCAGAGCTGAGCAAGGCTGAGGCAGCTGCTGGGATCTTTGAAACTGCAGCCTTTCCTGGTATTTGCTGTGCAAGCCTATCCAAGACACTTAAAGCTGCTCAAAGCTACAATTTAGGCTATTGGCACAGTGATATCTAACTGGGCACTTCAAACAGCAGAAGCTACTCGAGAACATTTCCTTTTATCTAGATGCAGGAAGATCATCTCTGTACTGAAGTGCTATGGTTTGGCCATACCAATCAGCCTCCTTGTGCCACTCCAACAAATTGCTGTACTCCAGTGTTGACACAGCGCTAAGTTCCACTGGCACCAGGGCAACTTCAAAATTACTTTCAACACCAAGGATTTTTATTGTCCTCTTCCAGTCTAGAAACATACTGCTGCAGAGGGATCCACAGCACAAGAAAGCATATTCCACAGGATCAAAATCAAAAGAAAACCATCAAAAGTACACTCACTGGAGCAGAGGAGTTTTCTTGGCAGTAGCTCAGGTTTAGAGCAGAATGCTCTAGACATGGCAAGTATAACTATTGCCTTCAAAAGAAAATTTAATACTAGCTTCCTTAAACTGACTTCCCTGTAGCAATTAGCAAGAAAATTAAGCCTGCAGAAAAGAAGAAAAAAGTAATTCTTGCTTTATTTATAGAATGAAAAAACGTGTTCAAAACATACTCCATTTGTGTTCAAAGGGACATTCAGTTTTTACACTGCTGATAGCCCAGCAAATACCTGAACAGCCGAAGTATTTTTACTGTATTTGCCACCTGGCCTTCTCTATGAGAAGTAGATAACTTTCTCCACCTCCTGCCAAACATTTAGGAAATCAGAAATTCTCACTTGCTTCTTCAAGACCACAGTAGTTAGGAAAAATTATTTATCATAAGCAACCTATAAAGGGTCTGCAGAAGTGGGCACACTTTACCACATGAGCAGTGTAGTATTAAGAAAGTGGAAGCCTAGGCTGGAAAAAAAAACCTCTAGTCCTCATAAAGTTTTTATTCTTATGTGCTTACTAATTCACATCAGCTCCTGCATTTGATTTATCCATCCAAATCTTTCCTACAGAACAACTGCAAGCAAACACTTTAAAATATTCCATACACTATGCTATTAAAATACCAATGAACTTCTGATGTCTGTCTTTTCTTTTTCAAGACACTGATTACAACTTTAGTAAATTTAGGTAATTTTAGGAAAACCCTGAATTAGCTATTTTTTGTTAAAGGAATAAGCATTTCTGTTGTGTAGCAGCACTATCCATGCATTGAAGCTGTACATATTTTCAACAGGTTCTTCTTGGACAGAAGCAGAATCTTCCTTATAAAAGCAGAAAGGCTGACCAGGCAGGTCTGAGTAAAGACAGATGTGTAAGTGAGCAACAAAGAATCCAGAGGGGAAAAAAAGTGCTAACATGTTATGTAAGCAGCTGTGTGAAAACAGAACAAATTTCTAAATTCCATCAATATTCAAGACAGAAGGTACATCCAGGCAATTCTGGAAAAAAAATTAAATAGAACATCTTGAGAAATTAAGATAAAAAATTCTACTTTTTATACACATTATCTAATACTTTTCTTGCTTGGTGAGTAACACTGCAGCTTAATGTGACAACTGCAATTTAAAATAAATATCTTCTTATATAATTCCTCTCCCACAGAATTTTAGCAGAAAGTAGGCTTCCTGCCAGATGCAGACACCAGAGAGGAAAAAAAAAAAGAAAAGATAGTTACTTTTGCCTTACTCATTACAGTGACATTTTTCAGAAACAAAGTATCTCATCACAGTTTCAGTGCTTGAGTAGTACTGCCATGCACACAGCACATGTGCTTCAACTGAAGCGGTCAATTTCAGTGAATTTTACTTTAATGCGTGTCTTGTCTAATACTAACACTATCAGAAAACTAATACTATATGAAAAAGATTTTATGATAGTTTTCATTCTATGATTTCGCTAACCAGTAAAAAAAATACTGTATTATCCTAGACTACTTCTTTTATGAACCCAGGATCAGTACTGATGAGATACTGCTCGTAATACAAAAAAGGGTCCTTGCAAATAATGTGATAGATTACTCCCAAAGTGAATGGGCTAAAGCAAGGCCACAACAGATTTAGCTGACAATTTTCCAAATAATATTTTAAAGACTTCTGGCAAGGTAATAAAATGTGGATTGAAATAATTCATTTTGCTATTAGTACCTTTTTCTTAAATGTACAATTATTTTTAGGCTGAGTAAAAAGTTTATATAGTATCTTGATTTAAACTCTCAGCGCAGCAACAGCACACTTTTCACATGCTGGTACACTGAATCATAGGTTCACTGCACACACGTGCA